TGAACCATGATACTAAAAAGATACAATAAAGCTCAGTTTGGAAAGACTACAAATACAAATATGTACAATACAAATACATACAAAATAATATGAAATGCAAGGTTTTTTTGTTCTGATCCGATTATATAATTAATGATATATAAGGATCTCATGTTATGTTTCTTTTTTGTAATATTTGCTATATTTTATATCTAAAATGGTAAATTCAACTCAACTTGTGATAGTAGTATCCTATAGCACATACAAACTTCCTATCCTCAAGCTTTTCATCACAACAAGAGCACCCTTATTGACTTTTAAAAATCCAGCTTCAACTGAATACTTGCACCCATAGCATTTAGAGTGCCAAGAGAGATGAGATTTTTCTTTAAGTCTGATACATATCGAACATTTGTCAATATTCTCACAACACCATCATGCATTTTGATTCAAATTGTTCATTTTCCTATAGTTTTATAGGAAGCATTATTACCTATAAATTTAACACCATAACAGATTTATAGGTAGAGAACCAGTCTTTATTGGGACACATATGGTAGGAACAATCCAAATCCAAAATCCATTCATCCTTGGATCTGGTTTTGTCATCTGTCACTAAAAGAACATCAACATTCTCATCCTCTGCCACAGTAGCCTCTGCAGAGTTATTCTTTTTCTTTTCTTCATTCTGGTTTTTGTTTTTCAACTTATAACATTCTGATTTAATGTGCCATTTCTTGTGATAAAGTTGCAAGTCAAGTTCTTATGTCTACATATTGATATAGACTTCACTTTACTATTTGAGCTCTTATCCTTAGATCTTCCTCTTGCAAGTAATCCAGAGTCTTGATTATCGCCCTTATTTAAAGTCAAGTCTTTATCAATCACCTCTTTAGAGATTAATGATTTTTTAGCATCATTTGTTCTAATGATGTCTCTTCCATAGATGAGAGACTCTCTAAAAGACTTCTATGAGGGTGGTAAGAAACAAAGCAACAAAAGGGTTTTTTCCTCATCTTCAACTTTAACATCAATATTTTGCAAATCCATGATAGTGGAATTAAATTCATCAATATGGGATTTGATAGGTGTACCTTTAACCATAGGAAACAAGAATAGTCATTTCTTTAAGTAAAGCATACTAGCAAGGGATTTTGACAAGTATAGACTCCAATTTCAGCAAAAAGCCTATTGTAGTATTCTCATGAACAACTTCCCATAGAACTTAGTTTGATAGCAATAACGGAATCGTGATTAGGGCTTTAAAATCTAACTCCTCCCATTCTTCATCACTCTAGTTGTATGTTTTTTCTCCTTCCTGTATAGATCTTTGTGCAGTCCATCTTGTCCTAAAATGGGACGCATCTTGACTTGTCAAATACTGAAACTAATGCTACCATCAAACTTCTCAATATCAAACTTCATTGATGACATTGCAATTGCCAAAGTGAAAAACAGGGTTCCGATACCAGTTTATTGTGAAAAAAACCTAATAAAAGTATATTCGAATGGCACCCATATCAAAGTAAAATAGAGAAAAAGAGAAGCAAGTACAAAGAACACACTGATTTACATGGTTCGGCTTATAACCTACAACTACGGGTGAAGGAGGAGAAGAAATCCACTATATAGTTAGCAATGGAGAAGAAATACAGAGTTGTGTACTCATAACCTCACTTACAAAAAACCCTAAACCCCAAATACACCCAATGTCTCACTCTTCTCTCACAAGACAATGACTAAGTATACAAGAGAGAAAACCTCCAAAAAACATAACTCTTTGTATTCGATTCGAACCTGTAAGTTGAATATGGATCGGGTCCATACCGCTGCGGGAGCTACACCCTTGCACCCCTGGCCCAATCTCTATGCTTTCACCACAAACTACTATGAAAATTTGCTTTTGGATTTTTCTCAAATTATTTCAGAATGATTTCATGAAGTGCGTCGCCACAAAGAATTCAAGGCACAAACATAACATAAATTCATCATTGCAAACTTAAACACTAGAAAAACCGTTGTGCTCAAATTTGTGCAATAGCTAAAATAAAATATAGAGATTGAGAGAGGAATGAGAGAACACTCCTTTTTGGAATTAATGCTATTTGAAACTCAAAATGGTAGTCCTATGGTGGAAAAGGGCCCCAACTATTGAATGGAAAATAGAGCAATTGATTTGTTTAGACTAACCAAGATGAAACTGCTAATTGTAGTGTTTCACCTGCACTCGTTGATGTTGTGGAAAGAGGAAAAATAGAAGAAGAAAAAGAAACAAATGTAGAAGAGAAGAAATGAAAGATAAAGTAAAAGACCATAAACCACCCAATAAAGAAAAAAATAGTAGAAACAAGTCAAAATAAGTCTTTTTCTTATTTTTTTGAAAATGCCATTGAATATTAGAGACATGATTACATGGGTTTGTCTTCTATTTAGTTCTTTTTAAAAGAAAATGAAGGGTAAAAAAATCACAAATCTTGGGGTCTCTTTCAAGTTAATTTCTAAAATCTCAAGATATGTTTAAGTCTTTTATCCAAATTAATTTTGATGGGAAAAGTGGGAAAGCATTTTAGGAAACCACAAGAAACCTTAGACGCCACCTTCTCTACCCTCTCTCTTTCTTTCATGGTGAATCACAATGTGAGTTCCCCCATACATGAGCCTTCATTTGCATATATTCTTTCAAAACTCTCACCTCTTATATCATTGTAGGTTCCTGTGATCACTACAACTATAAAGTAGGGCAAACATAATGAAATTGTTTTCCTAGAAGAGGATCTACACTAATCATTAGGGTTGAGCAAAAAAAACTAAAAAACCAAACAGATGGAAACCGAACCAAAAAATCGGTTAACCGAACTGGTCAAATCGATTTCGGTTCGATGTTTTCAAAAAATCGATAGTTTCGGCTCGGTTTTGGTTAACCATTTAAAAAAACTGGCGGTTAACCGAACCGACTGATATATGCAGTAATATATATTTATATAAATATTATATATTATATATATTTTTTTGAAAATCTAATTTAGGCATTCAGCCTTTCTCTTCAAAAGGCTGGCAGACTGGCACATACTACTAGACTGGCGACTGGCGAACAGGTGAACTCAAGCGAACTCACTGCCAGACTGGTAGTCTCTCTCTTCGTCCCTAATAAACCTCTTACATCCACCACGCCTTTCCAATTTCTAGTTTCCCCTTTCTTTCTCCTCTGAGGCTCTAAGCTTTCTTTGTCACTCTCAGTCTCAGTTCTCTTCTTCCCCAACGGACCGATGGCTTCCGGTGCTCCGTCCTCTGATCGAATCATCGATGTCTCTGACTATCAAGTCACCATCATCGACGTCCGACTTGGCGACCATCTGTCTCACTCTCTATTCGCTCTCTCAGATTATTCTTCTTCTTCCCCAACGTCCTCCTCTTCTCTCAATCTCAATCACTCATCTCTCTCAATCTCTCATCTAATCTCATTCTTAGTTCTTTTCACTCTTCTTCACTCTCAATTTGCAAAAGGGAAGGTTTTTCCCTTCTTTTTAATTTCCAGTTCATAAAAAGCCGAAAACCAGTTAACCGGTTGCATCAGTTCGGTTTCGGTTCGGTTAGATTTAAAAACCGAACACGTCGGTTCGGTCTAGAAAATTACCCCACGGTTCAGTTACCCCTACTAATCATATGATCATTTTAAGTGGGCTCTAATCGAAAAATGTATGCATGGTCAGCCTTTTATTGCGGAGTTGAAGGAGTTTATTTATAAACCATTTTCTATAAATAATAAAATTTGGGTTGCAACGTTGTATTCTAAGCAAATTGTGATTTGTTTTGAGGAGGAGAATGACTATTTGGAACTATGGCTATGAGAAGCTTTTAAGGTAAAATCTTTTATTGTTTGATTATTTAAATGGGTCTCGAATTTCAAACTAGTCCTGGGTATCACTTACCCAGGAAATTGATACCCATCTCCTAGGTGGGTAAATAACTTTCCAACATAGGGAGAAAGTTGTCAACACTTAAATGGGACAAAAATGTCCATTTTAATAATGGATTTCTATGGGTAAAATGGTCATTGCCTTATTTACCTGAGAAATAAAAGAACATAAGTAGTAAATGCACTTACCTAAGCAAGTGTTTCTTAAGAAAAACTTACCCATATAATTACATTTACCTGATAAATGACTTACGAACGGACCTAAGAGAGAAGAAAGAACCCGATACGTCCCTCATTGGAATGATTGATTAAAATCTATCGCAAGTAAAAAATTTCTCTTCGTCCTTTTTGTTCGTAAAAAAAGGAAACTAGAATATGGGAAAATTGATTTAGATGAGCTGAAATTTGTCCTTTGTATTTCTTTTTTGTTCTTTTAATCTCTTCTTTATCCATTTTCACATTATTTTCATTTTCCTTATTCTTTTTAAAATTTAATGAGTAGTTAAGAACACTTGCTGTTCTTTACTTTTTATCTGTTAAAGTTGGAAAAATCAACAAAGTATATATAAAACTACTTGGTATATATAAATAGTTTCTTCAAACTTTAGGATGTATAAGTAATTATCTGCCTCCCACCCCACAAAAAAAAAAGAAGACTGGGATGATAGATCCAACGAGTTTACATCCTTGTGTGCGCCCCACAGCACAGATGATGTCTCATCTATATCTCCTGTACTGTCATCGGGAGATATTCCCAATACAAGGCCGGGATGTAGTGCGGGGCCTTGTGGGGCATAGATGTGAAGTCAGATCCAAGCAAACACGAATATACACAAACCGATGCGATCATGCGACGGGTGTTTCAAGTTGAAGCGTCTCAGTTAGGAAAACACCACGATGTTGAAGACCACCTTCTTTAGTAATACGTAAACGTAACATCCAATTAAGACCAATTCAATGGTACGTCAGGATCCTTTGAATATTCAATACCACTACCATTGACTCAAAGCAAACTGAAGTCAATCGGGTAAAATACAAATCTCAATTAATTGAGAGTTTTAAATCGTGGACCACACGTTAAAAGCTCAATCCGGGTTCCGGGATCTCTCTCTGGGGAGACCGCCCATTGACTCAAGCAAATTGAAGTCAATCGGGCAAAACACAGATCAAAATTGTAAGTGTGAAATCGTTGACAACAAGTTAAAAGCTCAATCCGATCTCTCTCTCTCTCTCTCTCTCTCTCTCGCTCGCTCGCTCGCTCTCTCTCTCTGCAGGGAGACCGCCATGGCCAATATTGTTGTTGTTCTCCTGCAAATGCTTTTAGGACTCAAGGTCCTATCCATACCAACACTGGCTGGTAAGTTCTTGTACCCATCGTCTAATGTTTCCTCTTTCTGTGATTATTGTCTATAGTATTAACCCAATCAGTTTCACTTACCTTTCATGTTATGCAACCGAATGCAGTATTCCTGAGCATAGATTGTGGCTCCTCCGATTCTTTCACTGCCGCAAATAACATCACATGGGTAGGAGATGATCTCTACATTAAAGGCGGTGAAAGCCAAACTGTTCAAAGTGCAGATAATTCATCATCAGTTGCTCGTCAATACACAACTCGGAGAGTATTCCCCACCAGAAAGAAGAATTGCTACTCTATAGGCGACGTTGGGAAGGGAGAGCGTGTTTTTCTCCGTGCATATTTTTACTATGGAAGTTGCAACAACAATGAAACATCATCTTCACCAACTTTTGATCTTCAGTTCGACGGCAACCACTGGACTTCCGTGGGCGGTTGCATAACAGACCCATTTTACTACGAAGTGATATATCTTACCAAGTTTGATGCCGTAAGTTTATGCGTTGCTCAAACAGATCCTGATCACATACCATTTATTTCTGCAATTCAAGTAATAAGCTTAGACGTTGGCATGTATAGCAAGGTTGATTCGACTTATCCATTGTTTATGAGGCGGAGAGCCAACTATGGCGGAGATAAATTTGTGAGGTATGCCTAATCAAAGACATCTTCCACATTCTTCTATTTACTTATTGTCTCGGTGGAGAATTAGATGTATACAAATGAAGAAAAAACGGCATGCAATGCTCATTTGCAGTCACTTGCATGAGATTAATCCAGTCTAGTTATCATGCATAAGATCCTGTGTTTCTTCTTTAATAATTAATCTCTCTCTCTCTCTCTCTCTCTCTCTCTCAAAATAGGTACCCAGATGATAAATTTGACCGCATTTGGAGGGCATTTCCAGGAAACAGTGACCTAGTTGCTATTAAGAATTACAGCCAAGTTATAGTTGCAGACCTTCCAAATAAACCTCCGGAATCTGTGTTACAGACAGCAATTAAAAGCTCAAATTTATCTGCTCCTGGTATTGGCATATTGATCCCTAGTTGGTTCTACGTTGGTGATAAGGATGAGATCACCCTCTACACCATTTTCTACTTCTCAGAATTAGAGCAGCTCAATTCGTCGGAGCAGCGATCTTTCACGCTTTATCTGAATAAAATAAATATCTCTGATCCCATAACCCCACCTTATGGAACTGCTTTGGAGTTTGATTTAACCACAAATGTTTCTTATGCCGATCAAGAGAACGCACGCTACCGTCTCATCCCACCATCTGGTTCTACTCTCCCGTCGATAGTCAATGCGATGGAGATCTTTCAAATCGGCCACATCCTAACAGATGGAACAAATGACAACCATGGTGAGTTTCTTTTGTAAGTAACGCCAATAAAGCTCTGTTTGGTTTATCAGAAAATAAGAAACAGAAAGTTCATTTGGGTTTACTTTCTATATGCCAGTAAAAGCGCTATCTGTACTACAAAAAGCTTTTGTTCAACTTCAAAGTTGGAGCGGGGACCCCTGTCTTCCAAACGGATTCCCCTGGGAGTGGGTTGAATGTACTAATGATAGTGTGACACCTCAAATAATGTCATTGTAATTCTTGTTTCCCCTTATTTCTTCTGAAATCTTTCTGGTTTATCAGCTATTTATCCTCTTTCATCCTTTATTTCTTTTTTTTTTCTGCTAAATCTGTTCATTATCAAAGGTATGCTAATTATTTATTCATTTTCTTCGGAACAATTTCATAGGAATCTCAGTAACTACGGACTTCAAGGATCTCTCCCAGATTTTAGCGCCTTGGACACTCTCCAAATGATGTGAGTAATTAAATTGGAAAGAAAGAAGTGAGAAAATATTAAAAACACGTGGAAATTCCATTAATTTGTAGATTTTTTTAAACCTTTGGCCTTATTTTGCAGAGACTTGAGTAATAACAATTTAAGTGGAGAAATTCCTAGTTTCCTGGGAAACTTTCCCAGCCTGAACATGCTGTAAGTTTTTCCTGTTAAGGGTCACTTTTTCTATTTCATGTACTGATTTTCTTTGGAGCTTTGTATTTCTCACTACTTTTATTTGCTTTTATTTGATCTCTTCTTCCTTGTAGAAATTTGGCAAATAACAGCTTTGGTGGATTAATACCCTCCTCACTCACCAATAATTGCAACTTAAAACTAGTGTAAGTAAATACAGTACCCTTATTTTTCTTGTCTTTGTTGATCTAAACAGCAACAATTACATTTACATAATATCATTACCACCATCAACAACTTAATTTTCTCTGTTTATTTCTTTAATGATGCAGTTATTCAGGTAACCCGAATTTATGTGCTCCAAATCAATCGTCTTGTGTTAATAACGGAACTTCCATTTCGTCAGCCTCCACCAGTAAAAATTTGGGAACCACAATTGGCATTGTAATTCTAGTGTTGGTTCTTGTTTCTTTTTGAAGTACCTTCAGTCTGTAGAATTCTATAATAAATCAATTTTACCTTATATATAAAACTAATTAAATTAGAGAAATGAGATCTTCATATCAATGGGCAAGAAGAGATGATATTAAAACTTAACTGTAGCTAATAGTCCTTTGAGAAGAAAATGCATCAACCTATCTGTCTATAAACTAAGATGGCTTTAGGAGTATTTCCTCCTACCCATAACCCATGTAGTGGGGATGAGGCTTTAGTCGAGTTGAGCTGGGAGAATTGAAGAAAGAGAGGGAAAATCCAAATCCTGGAATTCTATAGAGAAGTAAAGTTTAAAGAAATAACTAACGGTCTTGCATTCTTAGAAAGCTTACTGGCTTAGGAATTATAGAATTTTGCAAGCAGTTCTTAATTAGCAGAGCAGAGCAATTCTTAACTTGAGCAAAGCAATTAGGCACAAGGGGTGGATTTGAGCCAAGCCGAGCTGAATAGTATAAGGCTCGAGCTCGGCTCACCAAGGTTGTATAAGGCTCGAGAGCTAGAGCTCAGCTCGAGTAAAAAACTCATAAGCTCGAGCTCAATTCAGTTTGAGCTCGATTTGAGAAAAATTATTTTATAAAAATAAAAAGTTATATATAAAAAATATTTTTTATTTAATATTTTAAAAAACAAGAATTATAATAATTAAGAATTATATATATATTCGAGCTGGAGCCGAGCTCTATTAGGCTCAAACTCTGCTCGTTTATTAATCGAACCTGTAAATTGGGCTTGAGCTGTGCTCGTTGCCACCCCTCACAAGCGTAATTAATATTTGGGCCTTAATCCCAAACGTGGCCCAACTTGGTGAAGAAGCCCATGTTTAATAAACTCAGGTGTCGAGTTCATATTGGTTCAAGCTCGCTGAAGTTTTTTGAATATCTCCACAACGAGTGAAGAGTAGTGACGTTAGTTGGTCAGGTCACTTCTCCCCTGATCCCGAAATTCCAAATTGATGAACGTATTAGGGGTTGGAAAGTAACTCAAGCTAGGTAATTAAACACGCTTAGTAAGGAGTTTCTGGTCATCAATTTGCTGCAGTGCAATTCATTGGCACTGGTGAAGTATGGAAGTGCAAATTATGGTTTATTTTTCTTTTAATTATAATTTATAACCCTACCCCATTTATTTGTAGTATGGATGAAATAAAAGAGAGACTTTGAAGCAAACTAAGTATGACTTAAAGTAAAATTAGATCAGAATTTGACCTCGTCTCATTTGCACTGCCACGCGTTTTGTAGTAGTGCATATGGAGTTGCACTGCAAACAAATGAAACGAAAAGAACAAAGTGTAAAAATGTTCTATTTTCTTTCCGTCACACATACAAGGGGTTAGGGCCAATAAGATTAGACCATTAGACCACATTGTACAATCCTAAGACAGCACCAATCAAACCAACATGGCCTCGGCACGACTGGCACCAAGGCCCTAATGAAGTCATGGGCTATTGGGCTTCGTGCTGAAATGGAGCTAATGCCATCACCACCCAAGCGGCTTTTTTCTTTTGACGCCCCTACCCTCCCAATCAAAGGTTAAATTCACTGGCCACATCCTACGGTTTTAAATAAAAACTTGAGTTTCTACATAATAGTTTTTCAACTGCTATTTGTCGTTGGATTTTGGTTACGGGCCGGATGATTCTACTCTAGAGACAAGTTGAGGACTTATTGACGTACGAAAGCGCCTGTAGCTCAGTGGATAGAGCGTCTGTTTCCTAAGCCGAAAGTCGTAGGTTCGACCCCTATCTGGCGCGTTTAATATTAATTTTTCACATAAACCATTCACGTACTCAAGCTCCGAAATTTTCTTTCTTTTATTATTATTATTATTATTTCTTATTATTTATTTCGGGCCTTCTACATTTAGATCTTCAAATGGTAGAGATGAATTCAAGTGGATTTCCAGAGAAACACACAACGAGGCAGAGTGTATTCTGTAAGCCTGGAGATTAGGGCTGGAATTATTAAACGTGATCAGTTTGTATGGGTAGGAATTATTAAACGTGATCAGTTTGTATGGGTAGGAATTATTAAACGTGAAAAACAGCACAGTACAGTAGTAGGAGTACCTCAGTCCTCACCAACATTAATCCACATAAACAAAGGTTGCAGAATATGTACAAGTCACTAGCAATCAATCACAGAGGGCATGAAGCTGAGAAAGAATTGCAAATGATCACTTTGTATGGGTAATCTTCCCTATTTTGGAGGGACTAACATAGTAGTAAATATAAATCAATATTTTAGTTATGTCAAGAACAAGTTCTCAAAATCATGCTGTAACTCTGTAACTGAATTGTTATAAATCACGGGAACATTAACAAGCATGGAGGTAAGAAATTTCTGAGTCAAGATATGGCTCTGGAGATTAGGGTTGTTCATGGGTCGGGTTAGGTCGGTTTATTGTAATTTTTCCAACCGACTCGATTTGATCGGGTTACCTGACATAGAAACCGAAACCGACCCGGTGTTAAGCAAAATCGACCTGGTCAGTTTGAGTTGGGTTGGGTCGGTTTCGGTTCTAAGTTCATCTTTGTGATAAAATCTTGCTAATTTTAAAAACAGTCATAAATTGAACATCATTTCAGCCATCTCCTATGATAAAAATTAAATGAAAAGATAATCACAAAAGTTACTCATCAATCACTATTCACTAATCCAAAGTTTCTTGCAACCATTCAAAAACTAGGTGGCCTAATGGGCTTTGGAACTTCATGTTTGAACTAAATCGGTTTGGTTCGGGTCGGTTTCGGTTTTCTTGTGTAAAAACCAAAACCAACCCGAATCATCAGTTTAGGAATTTGCACAACCCGAAATCGACCCGTGCTGATCAAAACCCGACCGACTCAGATTGGATCGGTTCGGGTTGGTCGGTTTAGTCTGGTTGACCCTTCTTATGAACAGCCCTACTGTGCAAGTCTCAAGCTAATTTTATTATGTTATTTTTTGATAGATGAATATAGTTATTTGTATGAACGATATTGGTTCATTGGGACAACTAAAAAGGTTGCATTTGGATGTTTAGTTTTGTTGGCCTGTTGGGAGATGGGGCAATTAAATTCTCTCTCTCTCTCTCTTACCCATTCATATTTTTGTTATTCTTTTTTTTGTAAGATTTTTTTTTTCTTTTTTGTTATTCATGCATGAACACTTGGGCTCTCTTATTGAAATATACGATCCTAAAGAGGAGTAGCATTAAGGACCCAGGACCCGGCCCAGGGCCCAGTATTATCTCCAAAGTTGCAGCCTGCAGAATCAGGATAAAGTAAAGTATACAACCGTTAAAACCCCAAAGGCGTGTGAGAGAACACCTCCCGAAAACAATGCTCTGGTTATCCAAAAATGGCGGTCTCTGCTAAAGCCCCTCAAATCGCACTTCAACCAGACTTTCTCCATCCTCTCTCTTCGAAACCCCACAAACTCAAAACCCTGAATTTCACTCCCAATACTCAGAACCTTCAAATATCCCTGAAAAGGGCCCAGGAAATTTCTGCTCTCAACACCAACTCCATCGACAACAGAAGCTTGAATTCAGATATATGCGAGTTATGCCTCCATGGGAACTTGGAACAATCTATGAAACACTTAGATTCCATGGTCGAACGCCGAATACTTGTCGAAGAAGAGACTTACATCACTCTCTTAAAGCTGTGCGAGTGGAAGAGAGCAGCTTCTGAAGGAGCTCATGTCTATGCCCACGTTTCTAGTTCGACTAGCCAATTGAGCATTCGACTGGGAAACGCTCTGCTCAGTATGTTCGTCCGGTTCGGTAATTTGGATGACGCCTGGTTCGTTTTCGGGAGAATGGAAGAAAGGGATATTTTTTCTTGGAATGTGATGGTTGGTGGCTACGCCAAATCGGGTTTCTTCGACGAAGCTTTGAATTTGTACCATCGGATGCTGTGGGTAGGAATCAAACCGGATGTATATACGTTTCCTTGTGTACTAAGGACTTGTGCTGGTATTCCGGACTTGGCCAGGGGTAGAGAAGTTCATGCCCATGTAATTAGATTTGGTCTTGAATCAAATATTGACGTAAATAATGCGTTGATTACAATGTATGCCAAGTGCCGAGATATTCTCAGTGCAGGCTTACTGTTCGATGGAATGCAAAGGAGAGATAGGATATCGTGGAATGCAATGATTTCAGGGTATGTCGAGAATGGGCGATATTTGGAAGGCTTGAAGTTGTTTTTCATGATGCGGAGTCTTTCTATTTATCCAGATTTGATGACCATGACGAGTGTGATATCTGCTTGTGAGCTTCTAGGTGATAAGAGATTAGGGAAGGAGATCCATGGGTATGTGAACAGGACAGAGTTTGGGGTCGATGTTTCGGTGTATAATTCATTGATTCAGATGTACTCAAGTTTTGGGAATTTGGAGGAAGCTGAGAAGATTTTTTGCAGGATGGGGCCCAAAGATGTGGTGTCTTGGACAGCAATGATATCGGGTTATGAGAAAAATGGGCTTCCTAATAAAGCTTTGGAAACTTACGAGTGTATGGAGTTAGAGGGTGTGATACCAGATGAGATAACAATTGCCAGTGTTCTATCAGCCTGTGCTTGTTTGGGACGTCTAGAAATGGGCATTAAACTTCATGAGCTAGCTAAAAAGAGAGGGTTTATTGCTTACACCCTAGTTGGGAACACCCTCATTGACATGTATTCCAAGTGCAGGTGCATTGAGAAGGCTTTGGATGTTTTTAGACGGATGCCTGAAAAGAATGTTATATCTTGGACTTCTATCATCTTGGGACTCCGGATCAATAATCGAAGCTTTGAGGCCCTAACCTTCTTTAGGCAAATGAAGTTTAGTTTAAAACCCAATTCAGTTACTTTGGTTGCTGCCCTCTCCACCTGCGCCAGGATAGGAGCCTTGATGTGTGGAAAGGAGATCCATGCTCATGCACTAAGGAGCGGACTAGGGTTTGAAGGGTTCTTGCCAAATGCACTTTTGGACATGTATGTAAGATGTGGAAGGATGGAATATGCATGGAACCAGTTTAACACACATAAAAACAAGGATGTATCATCATGGAATATTGTTCTAACTGGCTATGCCCGTGAGGGACAAGGAACACTTGCAGTTGAGCTGTTCCATAAAATGATTGATACAGGCTTGAATCCTGATGGAGTTACATTCATTGCCCTTCTATGTGCTTGTAGTAGATCTGGGATGGTAACAGAAGGTTTAGAGTACTTTAACAGCATGGAACAACAATACCACATCACACCAAATCTTAAACACTATGCTTGCATGGTGGATTTACTTGGTCGTGCTGGCTATTTGGAGGATGCTCATGAGTTTATAGAAAAGATGCCTCTTAAGCCAGACCCTGCTATCTGGGGAGCCTTATTAAATGCATGTAGGATTCATCGGAAGCTTGAGCTTGGAGAACTTGCAGCTCGTTTTGTCTTTGAAATGGATTCAGAAAGTGTTGGGTATTATATTCTCTTGTGCAATCTCTATGTGGACAATGGTAGATGGGATGATGTTGCACGAGTGAGGAAGATAATGAGAGAAAGAAGGCTTACAGTCGACCCTGGCTGCAGCTGGGTGGAAGTTAAGGGAACCATTCATGCTTTCCTCAGCGGAGATAATTCCCATCCGCAGATAAAGGAGATTAATGCAGTCCTGGATGGTTTTTATCAGAGGATGAAGACAGAGGGTTTTGCTACAGAAAATAGTCATGTAGATGAAATAGAAGCAGCAAAGGCAGAAATTTTTTGTGGACATAGTGAGAGAATGGCAATTGCATTTGGCCTAATAAATACTGTGCCTGGGATGCCAATTTGGGTTACAAAGAACCTATATATGTGTAGAAGCTGTCATGATACAGTGAAATTTATCTCTAAGGTTGTTCGACGGGAGATAACTGTTAGGGATACTGAAAAATTCCACCATTTCAAGGATGGAATATGCTCTTGTGGAGATGAAGGATATTGGGGAAGACATAGCAAGTGAGAGAATCAAAAGAAAGTAAAATTGTTTGATCAACTTCCCAGGTATTCCTTATGAAAAAAGGAAAGAAAAGCTTAGTGAGTGGTGCTTAAACTGTTAGTCTAGCAAGAGAATTACAGCCCATGACCGTAAGGATGAAACTAAACACCATCTAGTTGGACTATGGATTAGGCCATTTCACACTTAAAAAGGACTGCATATATGTCAAGGGGAGAGCCATGATAGTTTGAGTGCAGCAGACTTGTGAAGGAAAAGATTTGCATTTCTGTTTGAATTGGATCGTCAACAGAATTAAAAGGAACTGCACTGCTTCTTGTTTGTATGAATTAGGATGTACATCCTGGTTGAAGCACACCACACTGTATTTTTGTTGTATGATTCTGACTGGACCTCACTTTAGATCGTCCTCTATTCTACACACTGAAATCTTGTAAAACTGCATAAGCAGGTTCACCTGAACATGAGATGATTAATTATTGTTGGATTCACTCCTGAATTCTTGGAATCACCCTCTTTTTTTTTTTTTAATTTTGGTTCTCCAATATCATGTGATCATGTGAACAACAATATATTTGCAAGAAATTGTAAATTGAACCAATGAATTCAAATAGAAGCTTGCCTTTCCAATCCATACACTAGAATCTGCATTTTGCAGAGGAATAATACTACTTAACCACCAGCTTCAGTATTCTCAGAATAGAAAAAAATAAATAGATAAATAAACTATTGGATTCTAATGAGTAAACAAACTACCTCATTGATTAGCTACAGAGCGTTTTTATGGTTTTGAATGTGCACTGGATTCCAAATTACCAACGAAGTAAGTAAATTAGAAATTCTCTCGTGCTCTCCTTCCAATACTTCTTGTATTATGTTTCTGCATCTGCATAGTTTTTACATGGTAAGGGAAATATAGAATGTAATTTTAAAAAAATATAATAAAAATGAGGCTGGATAATGAAGTACAATCAGTGCCAACCAATGGATAGAGTAAATGTGATGCTCTTCTCCAATATATTGTGTTCCTTATGTTAATTTTCTGAATTTCTGGCGGACTTCTGTACAAGGCAAAGCATGAACAAAACCTGAATTTTCATGTAGTTATGCAAAATAAATGTCGAATTTTTTCAATTGAAAATTTTGGTGATGTTTGGAAAATAATGTGTAGTTCGGTGACCAGGAAAAACACTGATTTTTCTGACAAAATTGCCCTTGTATTAAAAAGGAAGAAGAACATCCGATTGATCCTCTGTTTTCCTTTCCCTTCTTTCAAATTCTGTTTTGGGTTCTTTCTTCCGAGAACTGCTTTTTATTGGTTTTGAGATGACTGTCTCTCAATTCATGTTTGAAGAGCATTTTTTCTCATCTTTAAAGCATTTCAAAGGACCTCATCTTTTACTTCTTTTTTATCATTTAAGATCCATAAACATTACCTTTCAAGTCTTCAGGCACCTTGTTTTTCTGTATTATTAGTTTTTTTTTTTTTTTCACTGAGATCAGCTAGAAACTCAGTTTTTCAATATTTTCTAGCACTGTAATGTAAATACTGTATTGCTGTTATGTTTGATATTCCTGAGTATTTTAAAGGCCATTCATCGTCAATCTTTCTGTATGGGTTAATATGTGATTTTCTTTACTGGGTTGTGTATCTGAATTCCTACTCCCTCTTGGGATCTTGATTGCATTTTATTTCTTTGATGCAATCTCCGAGATATCCTATTAAGTTGGACGATGAGCCTCTCTTAGAGTCTAGACTAAAAACGAGGTTAGCGAGGATGGAAGCTTAGGGCTGTCAATGGGTCGGGTCAATAGAACCAAACCGACTGAACCAATTATGTTGGTTCAGAACCGGTCTTAGCTGTCCCAAACCAATTAAATATCATAACATTTATGTTGTGTTAATGGTATTTTACGTAATATCAATTATAGTAGATGTCTAAAATTGTTCATTTAGTAGAAATACTTTAATGAAATCCTATGCATTCTTAAATCCTTTTGTTTTTCACTCTTTCTATTATTGACTATTAGTTCTAAACCCTAAACTATTTTTATCTCATCTGCTGCCCGCTAAGGGAGACACCTACACCAAAAGCAAACACCACTCACAAAACTTTGAGACGTTGCAGTTGTAGGCGATAGGCACAAGACCAGATCTGCTTGTTGGGAAGTGTAGTGACGGCATCTATGCAGAGAACGCAAGAACAGAAAGAATGACAGCGGCAACGGCAAGCCGGCAAGTAACCATTAATCGGTGATAGAAGTATGGATTTGTCCAATTAAGATTTTTGATTTACGCTACAGAGCTATAAACATTCAAAAGGACCATAGCCCACACTCTATGCACCAATGCCCGCCTGTAAATTGACATCAGTTCCGAGCTAACACCTACTCCAACAGTACTTTGAGCCTACAAATTCCGATACTGGGCTGATCGGTCATTCTCCTTTCTCTTATTGAACTGCAATAGAAATGACCATCTGATCTGTGCTATGGTTTTTATTCTTCTTGAATCCCCACTGTATTTTGTTTTATATCGATTGTTTTTTCTTTTTGAACGGCAGAAGCATGTTGCAGCGGCAGGTAGCACTTATTTACAGCGGCAGAAACATGTTGAATCCCCATGTGTTTCCTTCCTCTATGTGATTCTATTTTTATTTTTTGTTTCTTTTGGTACATGGGGATGCTTGACGGCTCTATAATAGAGGGTTATCGTTGCCTCTGCCTAAGCTCCTATTTACAAATCTGCAAGTATTTTCAACATTCAATTTGATTCCAGCAGCCATTACAGCTTTACTTCTTAATCTTTGAAGGAAAACCCTCTGAATTGTTTTTATCGGGCCAGACCCAATTAGCCCAATTAATAATTGGTTCAATTCTGGGTCCCAAACTATTATTCCCATAGGGTCTGATTTGAGGCCGGGACAACCTAATTTCTTGTTAGTTCACAACGATTTCATCCTGTCCTGAACCAGACCCGAACCGTTGACAACCCTGCTTTACATTACTATGAGGATATCCGCCAGCCCGCAGTCGAAGATTTTTCTCCCGCTGGACCTTTGCATTTCATTTTGACTCCCCGATTAATAAATTTGACGAATGCAGAATTTTACTCTTTGCAATCCTCGGCAAATCCAACATTAGATTTAAGCTTACTCTTAACCATATTGAACCGTTGAAGCTGAACCGCTGACTTGTTGCTTTGCTGGATAAAATGATTAAATATTTTAGCAATTTACCCAACTTCAGCTTCAACGGCTCAACCATTAAGCTCCGCGTATTCACCGAAAGACAATAATAAGCTTTTTCAGTTCAGCAGTTCAACCACTGCACCCGTTATCAAACGGCCCCTTAAAAACAGAATAATATTGAAAAAAAAAAAAAGTGGGCACAAATAAAAAAGCCAAAAACAGAGCCAACTCAAGATTTCAAACAATTTTGCATTGAAATACAAGAACATTTTTCTTTGAAACGTAAGATGGAAGAATTATGAGAAAGGAAAACATGAATAAAATGTAAAAGCGAAGCTATCTTTGGGCATTGGGACTAAAGAAGAACAAATTTTCTTGTTTGTTACTAATTCTCTAAAATCAAGCACGCCCGCTTACTGACATGAAACCTAGAGAGGGAAATATTCTTGCCACGTGAATGGTTAACTCAGAAACTTATGCGAGAGACTAAGAGTGAAAGTAACTGATGAGAAAGCTAAGTTTTTTTCTTTCTTTTTTTGAAAAAGAAACACCAAAAAGAAAATATCCCCCAAAATATTACAAAACCCCTAAAAAAGCTACGTGCTGAAAACATAGACAATGCAACTTTCCTACGAACCACCTATCTGAATGAAATAGTTATTAACAGGTATGCAAATCCAATGACAGTGTAACTCTCCTATTCTCAGAGATGAATTCGGGGACCATCACATGTAGATCAGTGTGGACCTCTTATCTGTATAATCAGAATTTCTCCTGGCCAATATAACAAAAAGAATGCCAGACAGTTTCAAATGTATATATAAGGCTAACTCTGAGATAGTTCTCGGCCACGCTTGGCAGCAGCAACAACAGCGTTCATCAAGGCACCGCGGAATCCACCCTTTTCTAACTCGTGTATCCCAGCAATTGTGGTTCCTCCAGGTGATGCAACATCATCTTTTAACTGACCCGGATGCTTCCCTGTGATACTGGCCATAGACGCTGCTCCCAGAACCTGCACAAACAGACAGTTTACTCAGATCAAGCATGCACAGTAAATGGTCAAAAGATTTAGGCAAATAAAAAGTAGATTGTTAGAGAGTGTTCTTGGGACTGACACCCAGGATGTGATCTAAGAATTAACCTACCAGGTCAATGTACAGTAAGAAATTTGATTGAAAAATAAGACTTGCTTCAACAAGAACTCATTCAGTAGAAAAATGGTTAAAAGATGTATGAATGTCAACCCAAAATGAAAGAATAATACATGTCTAACTAGGGCAGTGCATCTTTGAAATGATCTGTCATTGTAACCTGACCTTGTAGTGGTTGGCCTCTTGGTCATCAGAAAATACAATTCTCTTAAATTTTAAAAGAAACTACAACAGGATTTGCCAATTGAGAAGTGATCATGCATTTGCCAATTGAGAAGTGATCATGCATTTACTAAAGCAAATAAACCATCATAGTATGTCCAATGACTACAATAACATAATAGACTCCATGTGGCAACTTAAAACTTACTGTTTGAGAAGCCAGGCCCAATGCAAGATCTCGTGGTAAACCAGCAGCTACCCCTCCATCAGCCAAAGCATCTATTGCGAGGTATATGTAAGCTGGACCACTACCACTGAAAATTTCCAGTCACATATGACTTGTTATGACAGAAGAGCCTATTTGATGAGTATACCATTATGAAGACAAGGAACAATAATTACAATTACAATAAAATTTTCAAAAGATAAGGAACTATAATTACAATTTACAATAACTTTTTCAAAAAATAAGGAACTATACCATGGACTTGTTTGGGGTTGCCTCGGGGGGCTTGGCCAGGATTGCTTAAAAAAATGCAAAAAGTGCATTATTAAACTAAGGCACACACCTAGGTGCACCAGGCATGTGCCTTTGGAAAGGACCTAGGTGAGGTAAATGCCTTGAAATGCACCTCACTTCTAGGCACACCTTTTAAATCACTGATATGTTTATATACTTTCTGAAGATAAATGTCATTTTGTCTTGCCAAATTTAATCAAATGTCAAACATGTACAGATTTTTTATAGTATTTGTTAAAATATAAAATTTTTCATATTTTGGAATTATTAATACTAAGAGTAGGAGTTCATGCAGTAAATGGTTTTATATCCAGTAAGTATCATGTCAGACATGATACACTAAGCATGTACAAGTATCTGGGAATCATAGCTTCCAATATGCTTTGTACTACATACCTCAAACCAGTGACTGCATCAAACAACTTCTCATCAGCTTTCCACATCTTTCCTATTGCTCCAAACAAATTAGCTATTAGTTCACCATCTTCTTTTGTAGCGGCTTTTCCCAAGCACATTACTGAACAAACGCAGTGCATCAGCCTCTTGTTAAATGTCAAATAATTTGATATACTGATATATCTGCTGGTCTCCCATGTCATTCTAGCACAACCCTGGTCCAAACATTACATAGACTGGTCCACAATCATTTTAAGCACGAGTCTGTTGTGTTACCTTTTGTCTCTTATACACAAAAAATCAGAACAGACATGTTCATGACAATTTATCCTACAACATATATAGGTCAGATTAGGGGTGATCATGGGCCGGTCTGGGCCTGATTCCGGGCCTATAGCTTTTATGTATAAAATACTAAATATATAATATGTGACTGTGTATAAAATTTATTTTATGTATTATATAGTATGAAATATTATATATAATTATAGGTGCCATATTATAATATTTATATATAAAATAAAATAACATATATTCATATGTACAAATGACATATATGTAAATATATGCAGGTTGGGCCAAGCCTGGAATACAAAACATAGGCCAGGGCCTATGGATTTGGGTTGAAATAAGAGTCAGAACATAGGCCTAGTGAAACTCACAGGATATAGCCCAACAATTATTTGCTTGCTGAGAAAATTGCTGTGTTGGTAAAAGGTACGAAATAACAAGAGCACGTCTTCAGTTCTGCACCCATCCACCTCCTCTAGCATCTTAAGCACATTCCAAGTTTATAGGTTACAGATGGAAGTCTTCTCACTCCTCTTCCTTCCCCTTTCTTCAAAACCTCTAATTATCCATGACAAGATGGATGATTAACTATCTAATGTCAAATCAACACCAAAAGTACAATTTCAAATGGTATTTTACTTGCCTGGAGAAAAGAAACTTGGACCATGCACAAGAAAGACCCAGACCTGAGTCAACCAGGTCCTTGTGTCTAGGCAGTAATACATCATTATGTTTTCTGTGCAGTTTCTTTGGAGTTGCATCTTAATGTTCTTTTATTCCTCTTGTCCAAATATGGAAACAAGATCTATTATTTTACTTATGCTTTTTAAGCAAAGATGTCCCAAAGCACACAATTCAAATATGTTTTAGCATTAGTTATTTGTCTCATTGACAGGAAAGGGACAAAAGATTTCATTTCTTTTACAATAAAGGATCTACGATAAACCTGAAAAACAATGTATAACTTATTTAAAAATGTATAATACAAGGAAGACAAGATTATTCCATTAGACCCAGTATAGTAAAACGTGATAACAATCCAATATGCTACTTGATTAACTATGGACAAAAAGCAACAAAACAATTGACATCACATAAGAATTAAAAATTAGTTACTAGAGAAATTGTTACCTGTTGCTGCCTGACCAACTGCAGCAGGAGTGTTCGGCATCACTCTTATAAATCGGTTGTGACCAACCCAGTCCTGAATAAAAGAATATTAAGCATGGAGACCAAGACTATAAAAAAAAGAATAAAAGAAATCTTGAAAATATAACTACAATGCACCATGAAGATAAATCTCAACCCTGGGAGACGAAAACCAAAGAGTGAGCTAAAGAAGCTACAGCAGAAAACTGTAGAAATAGAAATTGAAATTTTGCAAAGAATTTTCAATTATCTTTCTCTTTGGCATGGGACAACTTGCTTGTTGAAGGAGAATGCTGAGTGGTACTAGATTGGATGGTAATTAGAACAGAAGGCCCATGGATCCTGAGATGCTTCATTAGACATAGGACTTGGCATAGGTTCAATAGCTTGTTCAGAGGGATCCCTAGATATTAATGGCATTACTGATACTTCAGCTAGAGGAGTGGGCAGATCTGAACTAGTTCAGGGGAGCACCCATAGGGCTGACTGCATCTTTTGTATCTTTGCTTTTCTTTTTGTTGTGAATTCTGAATGTTTGGCCAATTCACCACTTTGGTTCTTTTCCTCCTTTGAAGTTCTGTCAATGTGAGGTTATTCTACATCCTGATCGTTAATTAAAAAAATGCAAATGTATCTAAACATCTTCTATGAAGAATGTTTGAAAAAAAAAAACAGTAGCAATTTTAAGAGAAAAAAAAATAATACTCATAAGCATGTATGGAATCTTATGGAAAATTTTTATAGTAATCCATAATTGTATGCATATCAATGCTAATTGCTCACTTGCTAAGTGGATATTTAACCAACAATGGCTTATGGGCCTAGACAAGGGGAGAAATACTGTATTTTTAGGTATTAAATGTATCTACTATATAGGGAGAGGCTCTTGGTTCTCAGCTTTGGGAATCCTTGTATTTTGTATTTTTGATATGAGTAGTTTTTTACTTTTTGTCTTTTTCATCATGGTGGTTATATTCTGAGCTTTTATTTTGCAGAAATCCCTTAACCACAGATTGTACTGTCACTTCTTTGTAATCTTTTGGTTCTGTAACCTTTCTTTATAAAAAATGTCTTTTCCACTATCCAAAATATGAGGGAGAAAGAGGTTTCAAGACTCTAGCATTGATCCAATCTTTTATATAAGGATGGGGGCATAGAGTTATTTCATATAAAACCTCTTGCAGAATGTATTACCTTCATGAAATAACTATTTTTAATTATCTGTATATTATTTTCATTGTTATCAATAAAGCTTAACAGTTACTGATAAAAACGTCATTGAAAATCAACATAGAAGTCCTATTCTGACTTTCACATACGGAACTCTGGTCTTCACTCACTAATTAGCAAGTTTTACACATTAGTTGATATAATTGATGTTGATCCTGGGAAACACTTTCACAAAATGTTCACAGCAGTGGCCCAATTGAAAAAATGTTCACAACAGTGAAGATGAATATACTTTGCAATGTTACATGAGGAAGTACTAACCTGCAAATCAGTCAATTTGATTCCTGCAGCAATTGACACCAAAAGTTTCTTCTTTGGAAGCAGTGGCTTTAATTCCAGAATCACTTTCTTAACTGCAACAGCAATAGCAGCAACGTCTTTGAGTTAACAAAGACGTAAACTTGAAAAAGCCAAATACTATGGTGCAGAAATTGCACCATGAAGCAAAAAGCATGAACCAATGATAAAATGAGATGTTACTTATACTTCACATCATTAACATTGTTGAAGTCTTTAACGTGATTGATAAGAACACTTCGTGAAATGTGAACTAAAAAGATAACAAACCATATGACGTCTTTAACGTGTCACAAATATTCATTTCTGCACCATAATAGGACTCCAAAAAAAATAGTTACTGTTACAGTTAGAGATTTTCATTTGTGTTAGAATGTGAAGACATACAATTAGGATAGTTAAATTGGAAAATAACATATAAGGTAGTATTTCTAAATAATAACTAACAAATTCACTATCCACTCTCCAATACCTTGGTTTGACAATTCATAGCAAGGGAGAGACTGAATGGAGCAATGTTCTTTTTTTCTTTTTTTTTTTTATCAATACTGTATGGAGCAATGTGTTGGACAGTGAAGAAACAATATGTCCAAAATGAGTGTGGCATAAATGCGTATGATGACCTGGATGGGTGGAAAAACTAGAAACAATAGGGACAAAAATGAAGTCATTCGAGGGAACCTAGGAGTAGCTTCAATACTCACATGCGTAGAAGACCTTTGAAAGCACCCATAAGAAAGTGATATGTTGCAAGTTGAAGGGGTAGACCAAAAAGGAAATGGGCCGAAGTAGTAAGAAATGATTAAGGCACTATTAGTTTAGCAATGAATATGACATTAAATAGAATGGAATGGTGAAACAAGATTCATGTAGCCAACCCCATATAGCTGGGATAAGGCTTGGGTGATGATGATGATGATGAAATTCACTATCCACTCTCCATATAATTTAAGTTTTGAACAAAGGAAGAACAGCCAAACACTTCTGGGAATGACACAATTTTCCATCTAAGTAGTTCAATACACAAATAAGCATGTCAAAAGAAGAGAAGGAGAAGGCTGTTTGTTTCTATGCTCGAAGAACTTGACAAAAAGAATCAGGCATCATGGGAAATGTCATGAAAAAGTTTTCCAAACACATAAAACAAAAAATACAAGGCAAGTGAAGAATGAGATGTTATAAGTTAAAAGTATTATTTTATACCCAATTTGGAAAAAAAATATATTAGATATCTACTGAGATAAAGGGCAGACTTATTTATAAAGAGATAACTATGCCTTCATGACTTTTTTAGCAGGAAGATAACAATAGTGATGAGATGATGATTTAATGAGGACAACCTTCAAGGAATAAGGCCTGATATATATTCAAAAATAATGACGAGATGATGGTTTAAAAAAAAAGGATTGATAGTCATCACAATTGATCAGCATTATGAAATGAATGCAAATTTCAGCATTAGACTTCAAACAATACATGGAATTTATGTGCGCTGGAAGATGCTAAGGGGAACCACCCCTGAAACATAAAGTTGGTAAAAACCAAATAAAGAAGATTTATAAAGACAGTCAGGTTGAATACGGTTTGTATTTTTTATGAATAAACAACATATTTACCAAATACAAGAAGAAAGATATAAAGCTGGCATCCCAGAGGTTGAGATGGCCAAGTGATGAGAAAAATACATCAAAGAGTGATCCCATCTAAGGCTGCAACTTGGGCCGGGTTGGCCCGAACCCAACCCAAAAAAGTTGGGTTGGGTTGATGTTTGGGTTAGGGTTAGGGTTGAAATTCATGAACCCGACTTTACTTCGGGTTGGGTTAGGGTTGACCCCTTAGCCAACCCCACCACATAGTATCATGTATTTCTTTTAAGATAATCACTTCACTTAATCCTAATCAGAAAGACTAAAACCTTAATAACATTATTTTATGTTTTTTTGAAAATTTTATTCTTCATCTCCTCTATGTTGTTTGCCGCCCAAGAAAGATCTATCCTAAGTCGTAACTCATAATAAACTATAGTCATTTCTAACACTTGTTTTTCTGAATTTTGTACCAGAAGAACAAAAAAAAAACATCAACAAACAAATACTAATGAAATATAGGATTAATATATGTAGTGAAAGTTGAGTTAAGATCTAAAATCGAGAAATTCTATTGAGGTTTTAAGGGATGGGAAGAAGGTTGGGTTGGGCCCAACCCGAAATTGACTTCGGGTTGGGTTGGATTGGGTTGGATTAGGGTTGAAGGAATTTAGTTAGGGTTAGGGTTAGGGTTGGGTTGGTCAGGTTGAAGGTCGGGTTGGGTTATGGTTGGGGTTTAGAACTTAGGGTTGGGCTAGGGTTGGCCTCGACCCGACCTAACCCGGCCCGACTTGCAGCCCTGGCATCCCAGCAAAATAAATTCCCTCTCTTCACCCCTTGTCTGTCCAGGCCATCAGCAAACTATTTGCTGACCTGTACACCAAAATGTGGCTTGTACAATACTGATACAATATGACTCTGAGGAAGCATTTTATATTTTTTGATGAATGAGGAAGCATTTTATATCCAACATCCAGTAAATGTCTATTAAGAGTTCATGCAAAAGCTTGTGTCAAAGGGGCCCAAATGCACTGTGTACAAATAGAAATATTTCCAAATCAAAATACTGATAAAAATTCATCCTCACACCAGTGCATAAATATCTAGCATCCACAAACAGATAATTAAGCTTGGGATTGGACTAGTAAAGGATGTCTTCCCATGGGCAATACCAATTTGAGGTTTCACAGAGAAAATCACCACATCGCTGTCTTCAGCTACCTATTCATGAGATACAAAGTGAATCAGAGGATTAACCAAACTATGAAAAACAACTTTCCAAGCAGCTAACGATATGTCACATATAAGCAAAAAAAAAAATCTAATGTTCATGAAAAAACAAAAAAAAAATGAATAGGGTAAATTACAAGGACTTTTCTGTACTTTGGAGGGTGACACTTAACCTCCTGTACCATTTTTTTGCAACTCCTAGCCCTTTATACTTTCATGTAATGTCAACCCCCAATAGTGTCAATAGTGAGTGAGACATTACCAAATTTCCCAAACTATTTTTATGCCTTTAAAGAAAAAAAAAAAGAGAGAGAGAGAGAATGAGAGGAGAGGAGAGGAGTTGGTGGTGGTAATTGGGATAGTAGTAGAGGAGAATACTAGGATGAGATAGCCAGATAAGTTAACGGCAGAGGTCATATATTCTACCATGTCGAAACTCCGGGACATCGATTAGAAGTCTTGAATCAATTAATTCATTTATGGACACCACTTTGGCAAACTATATCATGGGTTCAGTTTGGTATATCACTTGGATAGGCAAGATTTTGGGGTTGATTTGTTAAATTATTTGTATGTCCCAGATTATTGAAAACATGATACATCATTTGGATGGTTAGTATTAATTCACTGCTTGAAATAAAACGTTAACGGTCTAGATCTTTTGGTCAATATTGTACATTTTTTGGTAATGAGTAAAAAAGAAAATTTTATAAAGAAAAAGATAGACAGAATTTTACAAAAGGAGCAGCCACCAGAAAACAGACCCACTCAGAGAATAAAGAGAGACATGAAGCCTCCAAACCAAACACCCCCAGCCACAGTGAAAACAAAAGAAGGCTCAAAAGAACTTCACAACACCCACTAACTTAGGCAAGGCCCAAAAGCACCAAAGACAGACCCACAGCAACCAAAGCCAACACTCCAAGATCAAGAAAAACAACTGACAAAGCATGCAAAAACTTCCAACAGCGGCCCCTTCTTAACCAAACAGTCAACATAAATATCTGCCCAGTGTTTCAATTTCTAGCACCACAGAATCCCACCAAACTTATAGCCAAGCCACACATTCTCCTCTTCTGGGTCTTCCATTTCACTATTCAATTCCCTATCCTCTTCCACCAACCCGTATCAGGTCCATTTTCCAAGTTATCAGCCACAACTAATGATACAATCTCTTTTCCTACCAAATAGAAAGAGACCCTTCTAAGATCACCCCTGACTCTGTTTCTGCTAACTGAGCTTTGCTGTATACCATCAAGAGCTAAGTTAAATGTAAATTTCTGTAAGTTGTCAAACTTTGGTTGTTACTGATCAATATTCAATGGGTAAAGAACAAAACTGTCTTATTAAGCAAGATAAACACATATTAGGGTTTTAGAGATGCCTAACAATGCATACGGTGTGTTCATGGGTATATACCATATCAACTCCATTGACATAATTGTAACAATTGTTTATCATTATACATAAGTGTAACAAAATTAAGTGTTGCAAAAAAAAAAAAAGTAGAGCCTCAATGTCACAACCCCAAAGAACAGGGGAGGACCCTTTTATTTTTTTTGGTCGGTGGAGGTCCCTGTAATTTACCCAAATAAATAATTAATATGGAAAAAATCTGAATACCTAAACAGAAATGGCACAAGAAAAATCTGGAACCTCTAGTTATATGTTGTGATACTTTTCAAAATGCAGCATTATTGGCACTAAACAGAAGGCTAATCCACTCTAAAAGAATCAACTTGAGTGAAACCCAGTGTATTAAGGTATGGTATCTGTGCATTGCACTTTTGGAAAAGCTGGAAAGGGTGAAAGTTTCATCTCATTCAAGGGATCAACTATGGTGGAAGGAGGGCTCAAATGGGAAATACTCTGAAATCTTGTTACTTAGCCCTCTATAGGAACCAATTAGGCTCAAACCAGGCGGTCCAGGCTGAAGAGTAACCCTCTGTGGGGCAACCCAGTTCCTCCTAGGGTAGAAGCTTTTGTGTGGCTTGTTGCTATGGATAGTGTCTTGACTGTGGATCATTTGAAGAGTAGAGCATTTAACATGGCTAGTATGTGTTCCTGTGCAAACACACAAGATGAAACAGTTAGTCATTTGTTCATATCTTGCAAAATTTCTGGTTCACTTGGAATCTCTTCACAGCATTGTTCGGAGTAAGAAACTTTCAACCGAGGTTTCCTTCAAAGATTTTCTCGTCATGGCCAAAGCTCAGAGGCAGTAAGAAAGCAAGGTTGATTTTGAGCTGCATACCTTTTGCAATCTGCTGGAACATCTGGACTGGAAGGAAAGAAACAGAAGAGTGTTTGAAGATAAAGCTGGAATTTGGATAGTCTGGTGGTGGCTGTTAGCAAATCTGTCTCAGAATGGGTCTTGGTACTGCCAGAATTCAAACAAGTCAACAAAGAGGACCTTGGAGACAGGCTTGGGGAAGTTTTAGGGTTACAAATTTGTAATCTGGATGATATGTTTTGACTTGTATTGGTGGTTTAAGGTTACTTGCAGGTATTAGCTTAACACCTGATTAGATTGTAATACTTTTTTTCTTTTGATGAATTTTTTACTTTTACAATAAAAGAAAACTATTTTTGGAAAAAAACTTAATTAAAGGCAAAATCTACAGTGCAAATGAACTAGTGATAAAGTGAAACATCACAATTCACATCTTTAACGTTATTAAAGTCTAACATGATTTGCTAGTTCACCTTGTAAAACGTTAACCAATGAAAAGGTAAGTAAACATGTATGTCTTTAACATAATTGGTTACTTTTTTGCTTTTTTTGTAGCCTAGGAACTGCAGTTGGACTCAAGAAGTAATGAAAAAGAAAAAACTACAAATAAAAACCATTGAAAACTTGGAGATTAGATCATAAAATTCCATGAACAGAAAATTAAAAAAAAAAAAGGTAAAGGGAAAATTAAGATAAAATTGACATTATCGACTAAAGGAGCTAGTCAAGAACATTAATTCCAGGGTTGAGTTAAGATTGTTAGAAAACAAAAATCAAATCAATAAACAAAAGAAGCAATGCATGATCCAAACGTCAAAAAAGAAACACGAAATTGTGATCAGATAGAAGAAATACAATAAAATGACAGAATACAAAAGAAAATCGCAATAAATTACTTAAGGGAAACCAAAAAAATCAAAGTACAAAAGAAGATAGCGCCATGAATCAGTTACAGTTTCGACAAAAGAAACAAAACCAAACAAATAATATAAAAAATATAAGAACAACGACGTCAGATAAGCCAAATGCATCGTCAAGAAACACATGAATTACGGTCATTTCATCCAAAAGAACGGCGGACAGATGACAAGAATCTAAGAAGTACAAAATAACAAAAGAAAAATAAAATCGAATTGCAACCGCAGATAGAGAGATTGAGAAAAATGCCTTTAGATGTAAGGATTCAAGGAATCATAGATGAACAACGATAAATTCGTCAAAGAGAACATCGATCAGAATAAAAAAGAGAAGATTTAAGAAATGCAGACTCGGCCAAATATACAATAATAAACAGAAATTCGAACTGCCACCAAAGACAGAAAGAGAGAAAGCGAGTCGGAAGTACCTCCTCATTGTGGTCGAAAACAGTGACGCCAAAAGCGGTGAAAGCCTCTTTGCGATCAGAATCCTTGTGAGCAGTTCGGATCCTTGAAGCGGGCAAGACACCTGCTCTCACCACTCCTCTGGCGATGCTCTCCGCCATTTTTCCAGCACCTATGAAGCCGAGCTTGTAACTGTCGATCGGAATTGGAGCAGCCATTGCCAGAGCTAGGGCTTCTTGCACTCTGAATTTCTGGTTATTGGTTCAACTGAGGCCGGCGGACTAGCCCTACCGAGTCTGAGAAGTAGCGCGGAAGAAGCGGAAAGTGTTTTTGGAGGGAAACGGGCATTTTCGTCATCTAAAGAGATTTTCAGGGTTTTTTAAGTCTTTTTCTATTTCTTTTTTATTTTTCCTTTTTTTAAGACTTATTTTCATTTCCAAGCACTGACGTCATGTATATATAGAATGACTGAATGAAGGTTGGTGGGACCGGGATTTTTTTGGGTAAATTACAAAGACCCCCTTTACTATAGGGTTTATGACAAAGACCCCATGTAATTTTGTTTTGAGACAAAGCCCCCTCTACTATGACCGTGTGACAAAGACCCCTTCCGTTAGCCTTCTGTCCAAAAAGCCGTTGCAATTTTTTTAATCTCCATACTACCCTTGTAATAACTATTTGAACAATTGGGAGAAAAACATTGTTCATCTTCTCCTCTCTCTCTCTCTCTCTCTGCTAACCCTCTACCTCGATTTCGTTTTTCTTCCTTTCTCTCTCTTCTTTGGAGTGTGGAAGTATGATCAGATTAACGGCATTCACTATTGGAACTCGCACCGATCAAGATTGAAAGAGTAATTTTGGGGGTTTTCTATAGGTCGGTGGACTGGCTTTTTTTTTTTTTTTGATTTTATGATTTGGGTTTTTGTTGTTGAATTTCGTCCTAGATTAATTATTTTTTGTTTTTTTTCTTGACCCAAGTTTCATAGACCGAGGGGTTTTGAACTTTTGATATTCTTTATCTAGGTTTTCTTTTTAAGTTTCTTGGATTTTTTGAAGGTGATTGAATCACATTGTTTCTTGTTGTCATTGTTCTTGTAGATAATCAAAATGGGTGGATCATATGAGAACAATCCTAGTGTCCTAAGACCAGCAAATTTTCAAGGTAATTCCATCATATTTTATTACATTTCTATTTTATTTTTCTTTGTTGCTTTTTTTTTCTTTTCGAGAGTCTAAGAGAGCAAATAATTGAAATTTTTTCACTTTTTGGGCTTCCATTTTCTTTATTAAGGTGGTCTTTGGATGGGGGGAGGGAAGTTTGTCCCAGAGATAGGACACAACAGGAGGGCTTTAAGCACTACCAATCAAAATTTAGTTGGAGGTCCACCTTATCCTTGCGCAGTCAACAAGAGAGGCCCAGTAGAGTAATTTCTTAAGCCCTAATCTCAAGTTCCATCTAGGCCTTTCTCAGAATCCAATTACCATTAATTCGTCTTTTTCCTAGTTTGATCTTTCTAATTTGATCTTCTCTGTCTCCTAGAAAACATGCAACCTGTGATAAGAATCCGGTCATTCCAGTTCATCGACCAATTACAAGGTTAGGAATTAATCCTTTCTTTGATTCCAATTGGGTTAGAAAGAAAAGTAGCTTCTTCGTCACATGTCATTGGCGAATTTCTTATAATTGGCTTTTGATTTTGTTTAGGAAATTTGTCGCACAGATGGCCAACAAGTAGCAACCTTGCCCCGAGGTACATTCTTAATACACCAGGAAAACATAAAGTATGATTCATCATTGTTCTTTTTTTGCTTTGATTAATCATTTTTCTTTGCTTTTGTTTTTTAATTTTAAAGGAGGTTAAGAACCCAATCCCCTCTGTTGTGAATCCAAGTGTTTCGGAAGACTGTACCATCATATATGTGGATGACTACAAGGGGAATAATGATTTCCCTGTTCCAATGTTTGTGAAGCACATAGAAGCAATGCTAAAAGAAATTGATCGGATGGTATTTACTGCTGACATTATCTCCTTCTGAAATGGGTTTTTGGCCATGGAAGATTGAACTTTGACATTATATTATGTTGTAGGAGGAGGTTGAAATGGAAGATATAGAGACTGAGGAGGTCGTGATGGATGTCGACGACTGTGATAAGAAGAACCCACTTGTAGTTGTAGGAGGAGGTTGAAATGGAAGATATAGAGACTGAGGAGGCCGTGATGGATATCGACAACTGTGATAAGAAGAACCCACTTGTAGTTGTAGGAGGAGGTTGAAATGGAAAATGGCAAGAATAGAGATCATTTCCTGCCTATAGAACACAATGAGGATTAGTAGGGGGTATGCCTGAATTAGCCGCTGCAATGAGTTGTGACAGCTATGGCCGAGAGGAACGGAAAACAAAGGAAAGCAGGAAGAAGAAGGAGGAGGGAAGAAAGAGGAAGGGGAAGAAGAGATATCAGGGGAGAGAAAGAGAGAGAGAGAGAGAGAGAGAGAGAGAGAGAGAGAAATGTGAAGGAATCTGAGGTAGAGGGGATTATTGCCACTGTTGTTCGTGTATCGTGAGGTCGGGGAAGATGAACAATGTTTTTCTCCCAATTGTCCGAATAGTTATTACAAGAGTACTATGGGGATTAAAAAATATTGCAACGGCCTTTTTGGATGGAAGGCTAACGGAAGGGGGTCTTTGTCACAGACCCCATAGTACAAGGGGGTCTTTGTAATTTACGCTTTTTTTGGTAGAAAGTGGGACTGGGATTTTTGTAGTAGGTGTTTGGCATTGATCCCGTTGCTTGAGATATGTTTTACTAGCCTCATTAAGAGGATTACATGTGGCCCTTTCAAATGGCATAACACACCTTTTGGTGCACTTAGATAATGCTGCTCTAGTAGATTTTGCGAATACAGACCGAGTAAGTCACTGGTTCTAACAACTGCACATAAGTCATCTAAGACGACTAATAGACTCTTTTGATTCTATATATTTTGTACATATTTTAAGACAATATAATCAGACATCCCATCTTTTTGCTTAGGCTATGTTTGGTTTGAAGGAAAAGGTAGGGAAATGAAGGGAAAGACAAGAAAACCTATACAAGGTATGTAAAGGCTTCCCTACCTTTCCCTTCCTTTCCTTGCATTTTCCTTCAAACCAAACATAACCTTAAATATCTTATAAGGGACAAATCAACTTACATTATACGAGAAAACGATGTTGTATGAATAGGTCTGTTGCACCGTTTTCTCCAAAAAAAAAAAAAAAAAAAGCAAGAGATCTTATTCAACGTCTAAAAAAAAAAAAAAAAAAAAACGGCTTCTTTTTTATGTTTGGCATCAGTGCTGCCACATAGGTTGTTTTTTGGGAAAACAACACCAGTTTCGTTTGGTACCAATGCTATAAAACCGTTTTCAGCATTGGTCTATATTATCTAACATCCATGATGATGTCATATTGATGCCACATCATTGCATCATTGGTAGCAATGGGTTGTTTTTGAGAAAATATTGAATTTGGTATTTCTTCATACAACACTTTCCCAATTTTCAAGGCATGGTTTGGAACAACATTTTCTTTGGAAAACTGCACCAAATAAGAGGTTGTTTTCTGAAGCATTGCTTTTTCTGATGTGGTGCTTATAGAAAACAGCATCAATGCCAAATACCGCCTTAAACACCTGCTATAGTTTCACGGATTTATTTAAACAATACCCTATAATTTCCATTTACTAAAATATCCGTATAATTTGGAATTGATTTAATCAACCTTCCATAAATGGATGTGAAAATGATGATTTTGACCCTAACATTTGTTCCAACAAGCTTAATCAAAACATTAATAATAATGAAAATATCATTTTTCCCCTAATAACTCTTATCAAGTAAATCAACTACTAAGTTTCTCATGAAAGTTATTCTCAAATCACCTTCTTCATGATTTACTTTTACCAAAAAATAATAATCCTGTTGTATAATATTAGTTATTTTTAGTTCATTTTATTAATAATATATAATAGTCTGATGATTTTTAGTTTAATTTATCAATGATATTCGATACTTTTTTTTAGCAAAATAAAGGTCCTCCATTAATGTAGAAAAAGTTACATGAATAGGATTTGAGGAATTATAATGTAAATTGAGCTGGCCCTTACATGATATATAAGCAAAAAGGTGGGGTACATTGTATTTTCTAAAAATATATATATAGTTTCAAAAGAGGACATCAGTCTTCTAAGATAACTTCTATACCAAAAGATGTGTTATGCCATTTGTGAGGGCTACATGAAGTTCTCTAAACAGGGCTCGAATTTCAGCATCATAGCTGTTGAGGGCCCAACAAGGCCTGCCTTCTGCAATGATATACTGTTCATTGGTATGTTGGAGGGTGAACCCTCGTCCTGCATAACCTGAATCTGGATCAAAAGAACTATCAGTAAATAAGGAGGGCATGTTACTATAAAATAACAGTTGAGATCGAGGTTGCAGTGGCCGAGATGGTGAATACTCCAGTGAGAAATTGATCGCTGGCTTAACCACCTGTATAGGCTCTTGGATAGTGTTCTCAAATAACCACTTATTTCTAGCTTCCCATATGTGGTAAATGATTAGAGAGAATTTACTGAGACTCATCGAAGCTTGTTGCTTGCCTAGATTTATACACAAGGAACTGAACCAATCTGTAATGATGGTATGAATGGGAAGCTGCGGTATGGATGAAGGGTTCAAACCAATCTGGGCTCCACACCACACGGCCCGTGCAAACGAAGCAGGTGATGAATCGTTTCTTCCTTGTCCTTGCAGAAGACGCAAAGCCTATCTGGTTCATTCAGCCAAGAAGAACACTTACGTTTTGTAAGTAATCCATCCAAAGAGCCTTCCAAACGAAGACTTGAAATCTGAATGGTACCCTGAGCTTCCAAATTAACTTCCAATTAAAGTAGGTGCTCAAACTTGAAGCACCCAATGAGGATAAGATGTGGTAAGCTGATTTGATTGTATAAATACCTGAAGCATTATATTTCCAGAAAAAGTAGGTCGGCAGATTGGCTTGGCTCTGGATTAACTGACAGGATATGTTGGATGGTAGAAGCTTGAAAAAATTGTTGTAATTTTGAGAGATTCCATGAGCCTTCAGGATTAAGCAGTTCCGAGACCTTTAAATCAGGTGCTTGAATTTGGGATGATGATGTATTAAGATGTGGTATATGCCCTGGCAATGGTGGGATCCAAGGATCTGAAGTTGTTGAAACATCCGAACCATCTTTGGTTGACCACAACAGGTTTGAGCGTAGCAATAATAACAGCTGGTGAGCTTGTTGCCATCATTGAGAACTGCGCCGACCTATCTTTGATGCAAATAAGGAGGTGTGAGGGAAATACTTGGACTTGATCTGCCTGCTCCAAAATCCTCGCCCGTCTGTTATCTGTTAATATGAATTGACTTTTAAACCCAACAAAAACGCAAAATACAATGAGTTAGAGGGGCTCTTTGGCCGTTTGAATCGCATGATTTGCAAAATATGTGTATCAACCGTGCATGTCAGGGTCCATTTGCTTCACAACCAAAATCAGAATAGGAATAATGGTCTTTTATCCCACATGTTAGGTTCAGATGAGAATTGGAATCGGAATCGAAATCGGTTGGAATGGATTTTGATTCCTAAGGCTAAGGGAGGGGAGGGAATGACCGGAGAATACGTTGAAGATCGGATTTCGATTACACCCAACCTAACAGTTGGAATGAACGCTCAGTATTTTAAACCTTGCATCACTCTCACCATGCCTTTCAGAGAACTGAATGCCTTTAAGAACTAGCATTTCTATTTTCAAGAATATTGAAGTTGCCTGTCCACCCTGGAGTTGTTTTCTTTGATCATAGTATAAAGCTTTAAGTAGTGAGCGTCCAATAAAGAGCTCCAATTACATCATAAAATTGTATAAAACGTTACTAATATGCTGTATAGGTTGTACTAACTGCTGCTCTAGGTCGCACATTGTTCTGTTTGCATATTGCAATTGGTGTTGATATAGGTTGCACTTTGCATTGTAAGTGAACTAGATGCATTTTTCAGTTTATGCTTTCTTCATCTGCAGTTGGTTGCAACTTGCAAGGATTGGAATTCTTCATAATGTTTATTTTCATTTAATTCTTTTGTTAAACGACTACTATGTTGTAATGTGCCGGAGCAAACCAAGGGATCCCATTTCAATTTTTCAATAGTCCAATGTTGTTCTATGGTCTGTCTTGTAGCTTCTTGAGTTGCACCAATTAATGTTCTTATAAGTTGCAATCAGGGTTTGTGATTGGTAGGGGTTGCAACTTGCAACTTGGGCAGGCTTGGTCCTTAGGTCGATCATTTGTTAAATTTTGAAAGGACCCAGCCCAATGTCGAATGCAGTGCAAAATCTTCAAATTGGGTGTCTTGAGTTGCAAAACCATATGTTTTGTATTATTTTGTATGTATTTGCACTGTACATATTTGTATTTGTACTCTTCCCAAACTGAGAGCCTTAGTGAGGTTGGTGTTCTATTGGGATAAAGGTACTTAGGAAGTGCTATCTACTTCTCTGATTACTTTGTTAGAGTGCATAAATGAGGGGAATTAATCCATAAAAGAGTTTATGTTTATTCCAGATTTTAACTCTTTTACACTCTCTCCCTCTCTCTCTCTCTCTCACACACACACACACACACATGATATCCTTTTTCCCTAGGATTGTTGGCTTTTGGTGATGCGGAACCTATCCTCCACATTCCTTGTGTTTGAGTTCACGAACTGAAGACAAAAGAAGAAAACAGATCAGAATATTATAAGAACAAGAAACCAACACTTGGTCTCAATTTGGATTTGGCTCATCCAGGATCCAACTCCTGAGCTCAAATTGAAGTTAGTTGCATTGGGTTTTCTACAACTCTGATTGGCAGGATAGATGCAATCCAAAATCAGCTTGGGCTTCATAATTGGGTTTATTTTGGCCTTGTGTTTCTCTTTATCACATAAATTGGATTGGACTTGTTCGCCCCAAACTCACCAGTCACCAATGCATCATGAAGCGCCTGGTGCAAAGCCCAATAGGCAATACAATCCCCATCTAAATAATGGCAATTTGGGATCTTGGGAGGGGGTGGATTGGATACAAACCTAACAAAGGACCTGATTAAAACCATTCCTTGAAGGAAGCCTAATAAGTCCATTTTCAGGTTAGGGTCATCTATTTTATTTGAACTGAGTTAAATCAGACTCAGGGATGATTGAGGTACTTATGGACATGGTTCATGAGTAAGCTGGTTGGATAAATTAACATGCGTGCTTTATTGGGTTGACAGAATAGTGTAACTTCCATCACTATCCCTGCTTTGCATGATAGTCTACTATGTGTGCTTTATTGGGTTGACAGCACAGTATAGCTTCTATCATTATCATCATCCGAATTCAGAGTTTTTATTACTAACCTCTACCATTATCTCTTCCCTTGTTGCATGAACTCTTATGTATCCAAATTCAGAAATCCTTGATAAACTCCAACTTTCAACCTGTCCATGTGTTCAAAAAGAAATGTTATGAATGATCAACAGTTCAATAAACAAAGACATTCTAAGAGGGGAAATCACCATTAGCTTTAATCTTGGAAATTATCTTCCACTCTCTCACAATCAATTATCATTGGACCAGGCAGAATTGGAATTTTCAATTCCATGAATGTGAATCACCATATTCTTCAGATTCCATAGCAGAATTTAACAAAATGTGGATTTTTATCCTTCAGGTTCCATGTTTCAAGGAATTAAAGACAATAGTAATTTCAATTTAGAGGAATCAACTTACTGAGTTTGCATTGTCTGGAAACTTGTCAAGTGTGAAGCCTCCCATCCCAATAATTGCATGAACTGGGGCAGTGTAGTTGGTCTGGTCATATGTGTCAGTCCCATTCGGATCTTTCTCAGGCATGGCTTTGCAGTTGTTCTGGTAAATAGCACAGGTTCTTTCATAGTTGTGGACATGGCCAAATAGGACTAGATTCACCTGTTTCATGATCAAAACTATGCTATTAACATATTATCTGCCTTACAAAATGTGAACTAATGTAGGATTAGTCTTTTCAACCAAAAAAATAAAAAAATGAAAAGAAGATAGATGAAACAGATTTTGAGCAAAAAAAATCTTCTTTAAGAATGTCCCTTTTAAGGGGTCAATAGCTATCTAACTCCCAAAATAGCCAATCAAATTAGGAGAGCTGAAATCCAACTTTCAGTTGGGAGATAGTTGAAGACTTGAAGTATAAAGTTCAAGTCCTATCTGTTGTCTATTATGAATTTTAATTTTGATCCTTCTGTTATTTGGTTTGCTCGTTTTGACTTAAGGCTATGTTTGATTTGACAGAAAATAAGAGAGAAACAGAAGGTTGAGGAAAAGTTTTTAAGGAAATTCACAAAAGAAATTTAAATACTTCAAAGTAAATATTGTTAAATCACAAAAAGACACCAACATTTATTGTAATTTCAGCTCCATTCTGGTACTACGAAAGTTTACTTTTACAGTTTCAATAATTTGTTGGGGCATATACAGACAGAAGGAGTTTTAATTATTCATTCTTTTTTGGGGTGATCACAGTAAGTATATTTAAAGAAATCAAAAGACTAAAAAAACCACTTTTGTTGCTGCAGAACATTTGAAAACATAGATAGAACATTTATTGAAAAATATTGACCAAATTAGAGGAATCCCATGATACACTTGCTGTTTTTATCATCCATTTCGTTTTTGGACCCCAAACCATTGCATCCAGTCTATATCTATTCTTTTGTTTCTACAATCTTTGTTCTTAGTCTTATCAAGCCATTTATGTTTGCATGCTCAATCAACTAAATAAATAAATAAATTGAAATCTATGCACTTTTTGTATATATGATATGCCTACATAAGTATATGACAAATTTAATTACCTTGTTGTCAAATAGTAATGGCTCTACAGCTTCAACGAAACTGTGATCGACACTCGGAAGAAGTCCGGCCAGTGCTCCTTTAACGGATGTATACATGGGTCTATGTCTGCAACCAATAAATGTCTTAGGAGGTGTTCTAAAACATGGTTTTCTTTTCAGAATTCAAAAAAAAGGCCCCACAATGATTTGGGAAAACAAGCCCAGATCTGCTGAAAATTTTTGAGCCAAAAATACATAAAACATGTTCTTGGCTGTGATATGTTTCTTTCATTTTTCAAATACAACCAAGAATGAGTTATTGAACTTTTGGTTTCAAAACATGATTTTTCTGGAAATTTCATATTATGGTTCATAAATCATATAATACACAGATAGTAATTCTGATTGAATGGATATTAGTTTTCCTTTCACATTTTACTTTCTATTTATATTTTGAATCCAATTCCATGTTAATGTGGATTTATATGATTGATATGAGCTAGCACTTGTAAAAGGGTATATGAGAGCTTGGCATGTTTCCCACAAAATGAACATTGACTTGCATCAACTTTATGAAAATGAAAACATGTTTTTGGTTTTGAATGAAAATTTTTGTTGGCTTCAGATACAAGGTTATTTTCTTAGTCAAACTGAAAATGTTCACTTTCAACTGAGAAAACACAATCTGAAGAACAGAAGAAGGATTTTTTTTTTTTTTTGTATTTTGTCCCCTGATGTAGCATTTTCTAGAAACAAATAATGCAAAAACATTCATGTTGGAAAACACCCCCTTAGTAAGTCTAATCTCATATGAGAAACAATATTTCAATCTGTGTGGAAAATCAGTGATCTCAGTCCAATTAAAAGAAATTTTAAATAAAGATAATTAGAATTTACAATCTATTGCATTAAAGGCCAAGGCTAAAGCGAAAAGTTCAATTTTGTGGGCAAAGATGTATGTTTCTGTTGATTGAACACACTGTCGATCCAAAGCATAAGTGCATAACATGAATGTTCAGGTTTACAAAAAAAAAAATGAAGGCTTAGAATAATTAAGACATGTCAGTATGAGTGAGTGTGGAGAGGAGAGAATCATATTTACCCTATAAAAATTACCCAAGGTGTTCTTGATCTATCAACTGAGCCCAAGTCGTTCTGAATCCATTTGTACTGTTATATGGTTCATTATCATGTTAGGTGTTACAAGATATGATTCAAAAATCATAACAGTATCAAGGAGTAAACTCATTTTTACCTGCTCAGAATTAACGGACCAATCATGCTCAGTTGAAATTACAGTAAAATGAACACTCCCTTGTTCTATTGAGTACCATGGTTTGTCCTTTCCAACAGTGGGCATGGGAAAATATGCCTCATAAGGAACCCCACATTCTCCACCAGAGTCTGGTGTTTTATACACTGATCCTGACCTTGCAAAGTCTCTGTAAATGTTATAAGCAAGGAATTATGTTAGCTGGCTACTGAAAAAAGCTGGAAAAGAGCAATTCAATCCCATTGAGGCTAGGTATATTTACCATTAGTTCTCTCATCTATTCTTCTATAAGCATCACAGAAAAGGCCAGCAAAAGAAAGATAAAGAGTTTATAAGTGAGACACAGTACCTCTCATGGTTGCCAATTGCAGTCATATAAGAGACCAGAGAAGCCACAGGTTTGATGAGGTGAAGAAAGAAATCCCATTCAACTAAGAAGCCTGTGGCATAGCTTATGTCGCCAATGTGGAAAATGGAATCGACGTTTCCTGATTTTACTTCATCAGCCATGGCTTCTACCACCGAGATAGATCCTGGCTGCTTGTTCAAAAAGAATAATGAATTTTGTGAGAACATAATGTGTTCAGTTTCTGTGTTTATTCTATTTAGGAAAAAAAGATGGTAAGATAATCTTTGGGATTGGTCTTTATTTTGGTAAGAAGAATTATGATTATGATGGTCACTTTAGCTAATCTATACATCCAAGCAGTGTTGCATGGAGTCTGATAAAATGGATGAAGCCATTTAAATGATCATATTGCTATTTTCAAAGCAGGGAAGAAAAAGAAAAAAGAAATCCATCACTGATACAAGAAAAAGAATTGCAGTTTCTAGTGCATTGGACACTGATGCTACCCAGGTTACTACCTGAATGTAATGCTCAACTGATGCATCACGTGGAGCCTTTCCCATGTCACCAAATGCTAGAAATTTGAGCTCATCTGATCCTGCTGCCGGTGGAGTTCGAAATTGTATTTCATCGCTCCAGCCAACTGAATCACTGCATTATAAGAACAAGACAGCCATTTTAGTTATGGAATTGGAAGACTCAGACTAAGACATATATGCATAATTACGACTGCAAAGTTTTTGGTGTGTTTGTTGTTAATTACCAATCACAAAACCTTCTTGAATTGTGTTAACATTTGACAAAAGCTGAATGGAACCATCTAGATTTAACATGGAGTACACACTAAAAACAACTTGACAACTTAAGCAAAACTTCTGCTGAAAAACTAATCTAACATATATGATAACTATTGTGTTCCCTATACAATGGCTTTAAATGTGTAGAAAGATATCTATTTTGGACATGTTTAATTTTCCACTCATGGTTCTGGATAATTTGAAAGCGTGGTTGAACTGAGGGGTAATAAACTGCTTGCATCTTTCTGACTCCATTCCATTTCCATAAAACGAATCTGGTAGATGTAAACCATTACAACTATCAAACAAACTAGATAACTAAAGTTGTTTGAGAGGCTAGACACCAATTGATAAACACACAAAAACCCTAACTTTTGGATTTCCAATTCCAACTATTTTTATTTTTTGGAAATTTTGTTAGCCCTTGTGCAATGGCAATGGTAATGGGAGGGAGCATTGATTGGTGAATGGTAAAATCTCACACTGACAAGAATGCGGATTCCGGTCTGAGAGCAAGCACTTCTGTACAAAAAGTTATGCCAAAGTTTAGGTCGGTATCCAGTCCACCCATCTTAAAAAAATAATAAGGGTCCATTGGGTCTATATGGTCAGAATCAGAATCGGAATCAAAATTGGCTGGAATGGATTCTTATTCCCAGGGGAGGGGGAGGGAATGCCCATTCCTTGATATAGGGGAATTCCATTCCACCAGGAACGGGAATGGGTTCCGATTCCACTCAACCGAACAGTTGTAATCGGAATGGACAATGATTCTGATTCTGGACCCCTATTCCCGAAAACCAAACGGACCCTAAATTTTCAGTATAGACATATCAATTGATAGTTCTTCTTTGCTCTAAAGGTGCACATTGTGTCCACATTTTTCTTCATTTTCCTTTTCTATTTCTTTTCTGTATATCTTTATTTTTAACATGAGAAATATTGTACCTTCCATATCTATAGGAGTAGACACTTGAAGGTTCAAGTCCTGTCATCACGGCAGTATGAATGTATCCAGGGTCATGCCACCCAAAATCCTTAGCCGGGCTTGGAACATTAGAACCTACAAATTTTCAATGAAGCACAAGAATTAATTGCAAATGAGCCTTACAATCCTCATATTTCCTTTCTTATTTTCTATTTAAAAAACCCCATTTCCTTAATCAGAAAAACTGAACTGTCTGAACCTTACTTGACAATAACCAAAGAGCCATGAGCCCGAGACTAGTTAGGAAAAGCAGATTGCTTAGGTTCATTTCATAGGCATTCTTTCCATAAATTTCTCTTGAAAATGCCTACCAAGTCTACAGTCGATTGAATACTTTCTTTATTCGATTAATTGCAGCTTCCTAGTTTTGGTATGATCCCACTCTTTGTTCTAGTTAAATGAGATTCCATCTGTTGTTCAACAAACACAGAATTGCAGCTAATCTTATCACATTGTTCTCTTTACCTCTTACTTTTAGCTAACATCATTGATGATGATGGTGACGACAGTGAATGTTCAGCGATAGTTAAGTTTGCATTATTGAATAGTATGGTTGCAAATTAATCCTTCACTGTTGTGTCTTTGGCAAAGATCCAAATCAGTTCATTCCACTACAGTTAACCAGGTTTTAAGTTGACAAGTTTAAAGGAAAGAAATTAAATCGATGAAATGAAATAAATCAAACAAAGAATATAGAAAGTAGCAACTAATTGAAGAACTTACTACACATGTTATCCTGTGTAAATGTAGTGACTTCTGAATTCAAGAATTTCCCATCGCCATATTGAACTTGTTGAGGATTTCTATCTCCACTTACCCACGTTAATCTCATCTGCAACGTGTTTCACAGAGGACTCATTAGCTTGTGTTTCAGAGAGAAATTTGCACTTAAGGCTAAGTTTGGAAGGAGTACAAATACAAATATGTACACTACAAATCTATACAAAATAATACAGAATATAAGGTTTTGCGCTCTACATATTTGTATTTGTATTCCTTCCAAATGGAGACTAACAAATTTTTGAGACATATACAGGTGATCATGGGCCGGGTCAGGTTTGGCACCTGGCACCTGTGGTATGGGTTATAGTTTGGGCCATGTTCCGGGCCTATATCTCTTATTTATAAAATATATACAATAGAAATTATATCTTTTAATATGAACATATAAAATGACTTTTTTACCCTTGATGTACGTTTGATCAAATTAATCAGAACAATACCTATAAAAAAGGCAGTTTATAGCAAAAGGTCAATTTAGTAAAAAAATAGTTTCAACCTATTGGATGTGTTTTAGTAATATACAAACTAAACCTATAGGGGTATGTTTTAGAAAATCATTGAAACTATAGGGGTGTCTAAATAACTGACTTGCTGAAACCTCTCTTGGTTTAGTAATTGCAATTATCTCCCCTGAACTTTCGGATTCATTTACAAGTAAACCCTCTCTGGTAGAATCTTCTAAAGAAAGACTGATGCAGTTATTATTAAGACTGGTTTCTATGGAGGAAAAAAACAATTCAAACTTTATGAACAACAAAAACAAAGAGAATTTAAAGTTGCAGCTTTACCTTTGAGTGAATGATATGAAGGGAAAATTTGAAAAATAAACAATTTCAGAAAAGAGATTGGAAGTATTCAGGGTAGTGATTCATATGAAGAGAAAAATTGGAAAATAAACATTTTTGTTAAAAGTAATTTCATGGGGGTATTTTGAATATTTTTATGCCACTTTTTAGAAGTTTCTACCGGAGGGGGTCTACTTGCAACTTGCAAGTATGTCAAAAAGTTCAAGGGAGATGATCGCAATTACCAAACTTTAGAGGAGGTTTCAGCAGCAACCATAAACTTCAAGGGAAATTTCAACAATTTACCATATTTTATATTATATGTCATATGATATAAAATACCATATATAATATATAATTTATAGGTGTCACATATTTACATATAAAATATAAATTTAACATAAAATATATATGTAGGGGTGGATTTGAGCCGAGCCGAGCCGAGTCGAATAGTACTAGGCTCAAGCTCAAGCTCGAGCTTGGTTTGAACCAAAACCTTGAGCTCGAGCTTGGCTCGAGTCAAAAGTTCATAAGCTTGAGCTCGATTTTGAGAAAAAAATATTTTATAAAAATAAAAATTATATACATTTTTTTATTTTAAATTTAAAAAATTAAGAAATATAATAATTAATAATTATAATATTTTTATTATATATATATTATTTTCTATAATCTTATTGTATATATTATATATATATATATTCGAGCCGGCTCACTAACCAAGCTCTAATAGGCTCGAGCTCGGGTCGTTTAATAATCGAGCCACTGAATTAGGCTCGAACTTAGTTGAAACCGAGCCGAGCCGAGCTCAAACAACTCGTGAAAAGCTCGGCTCGTTGCCACAATATATGGAATAATTTATGCTACGGAAAGACACGATATAGGAAGGGCTTTGACCCATCAAAACCACCCTGTGAATTTGATAATCACCAACTGGTTGGTTTCCGCTAACCACTTTTTATGATACCGACCATTGGTTAAGCTTTTCCGGTTCAATATATACATGTGTATAAATAATATATAAATGTGTGGGGTGATTGGGTGAGCCAGGCCAAAAATGGTCGCCCCTCCTGTGTCCACCATGCACATAGGTCCCTAACCCAGGTGAAGGTAGAAAGTGATCCCAAGTCTTTGGTACAATCAGCCTGAGACCTTATCAATTGATTCAATTGGAAAGTAGACAAACACCTTAGCTAAGCGTGCAATTTGGGCAGGTCCAATCCAAGCCTTGATCGACCCAGACCGCAACTTTACATGGAATGCCATGGGCTTTCAGTACTTGGGCTGGACCCAGGCCTAAAACTTCATTTTTCTTATATGTTTACATAAGACATATTTGTATTTCAGTGCAGGCTGGACCTGTGTTGAGCAGATTATGTTTAACCTCATTCTCAGGGCTAAGGCCCAGTTCTTAGGGTTGGGCCTGGCTTGTCCTTAAATCTGGCCCATCTGCCTAACTTGCACCCTTAACTTTAGCTTATTTTTATTGAAAAATATGGTCTATATATTTATTTTGAAAAAACACTACCTATCACCTAGCATGCAGCAATAAATTTGGGGGGTGAGGGAGTCAATAAAGCGCTCAGAATACATAGATGGTATAGATCTTAAAAGAAAGCAAATATGACCAGGTGTAAAATCTAACGTCAAGTGCCTTGTTTCCTAAAATCTAACATCCCCCAATTTGCAGGCTGGGTCTTCCTGTTCTTAACCAGGCTAAGAGTGAAAATAGATTGACCATAATTTAATTAGGAAGAGAATGTTTTGAGTGTTGATGTGTGTGTTAAACATAAAAATCTGTTAGGCCTGTTGACCGTAGTCTTGGCTAAAGCCATGAATCACAGCCCTGGATGTAGGGTGTTAACAGTATTTAAAAATTCGATATCAAATTCGGATATGACGTGAACCGATAAATATTCGAATTCAATTAATTATTTAATTCTTACATAAAATATAAAATATAAAATATTTTATATAATATATATATAATAATTAAATTATACAAATAATTTATATATTTTATAAATAAAAAAGATTATTTTATATGTTTATTAATTATCTAAAATAATTAATTGGTTGAATTCGAATGGAATCGAATATTAAATATTTAATCGAATCGAATCAAATTCGAATATCGAATTTTCTAATCGATTCGAATTCAGGTATTTACTGATTCGATTCGAATCGGATCCGCTTAAACGTGGATATATCAATGCGGCTCCACTAGTATTGGATCAAGTGGCGTTAAGGTGGAACTCCAAAGTACATCCAATGGCCCAAGGTATTCCCAATGTGCGGGTAGGATGTATTGTTAGGTAGGTGTGGGAGAGCATATCTTGAAACACTGCAGTCATGGTGGCAGCAAATATGAACTAAGTGGAGAAGATGTATTGCAGTAGGGAAGAGTGGAATCCCTGTGATGAAAAGTGAAAGCCCAAATTACCGATGTTCCTGTAGAATCTATGCTGGAAAGATGGCCGTATAACGGCGCTCCTGGATTACTGAAATTCACAGCGTCCGACCTTTGCAAAATGCAAGGTGTGCTGAACCCACCACTGAATAGCACGAACTCTACATCAGTTCTGATGTTAATCACATGAAAAGTTACAGAGCCACTGCAAGTTTTCAACACACAGGCACCTCCCACATGTTTCTTGCATTCACTCCTTTTGCAGTCAACATAATCCGGATCATTGCTCATGTACTGTGCCTGCATTCAAATTGATTCAGGTTTCAGACCCTGTTCATGTTTTAGCTGTTCTATCCATCGATCAAGAGGATTGTTTTTATTTGTTTACCTTAACAGGATAATGGCAGAGAAGTGGAAGGTCACTAAGATCACCAGTCTCCTTATAAAGTAAAGCATTCAAGGGGCAATCTGAAACACTGCTCGTGTAGCAAAAATCCCAGAAGAAAGAAAAGTGATGTAGAAATGAGAAACCAAGAGATTAATATAAAGAGTACTTACTGGAATAGAGATTGATTAATTTCTGGGTGTGCCTTACTCAGAATAAGAAGGTGAGATCATGGCAACCCAATGAGCTTTCGACGGAAGCATAACTCCGCTGACGTTAACCGTCACATATTCTTCATTCGCAAGTCCAGAACTTGAGCTGATATTAACTTGAATATACGGGTTCAAGTCAGGACACTTGATCAAGGATCTTCTGTTCACCATTCGAAAATCTGAAATCGCGGTATAACCACGATATTCTTCGGTAAAATTGATGGGTATGAATGGAGTCGTTGTTCGTGAAGAAGATGATGACGAAGAAAACAAGAGAAGGAAGAGAAAGAAGAAGGAATTGGATACCCAAGAAAATTTCAGAAGAGGAGAAACAGAAGCCATGATTGAATCCAACTTCTGTGACTTGAGAGAAGATTTTTGTCGTTGCAGGGTCGTAAGATCTCGTTGTCTTCCTTCGAACCCTTTTAATCTCCCCTGCTTGTGAGAATTGAGAGCTCATCTCAGTTTTTGCTTCGAAATTCATTAATGGCGCCCGTATGGTTCGATCAAGTTTTCCGGCTTATGCATGAACACGATTGTTACGTGGTGGCCGAATTTCACAAGTGGATTTTGTTTGTTATGGAAGTAGTTAATGGTGGCTTTTTGCTTTAAATTCGTCATTTTGCTTTACATATCTGCTTATTGTCGTTGCACGTTTCTTGCAATCCAACGGTTCAGAAGATCTTTAGTTGAACGGTATAGACTGATAACAATTGGCAGCGTTGAGGGTAGGCAAATTTTTTTGCTACAGTGAGATTAGGCAAATTAGCGGGTGTTTTTTTTAGGTTGTGTTTGGTTTAAAGGAAAAGGTAGAGAAAGGAAGGGAAATATAGGAAAATTTTTACAAACCTTTCCTTACTTTTTCTTTCAAACCAAACATATCCTTAATGAATTAGTAGTTCATTCAATAAAAGGGTGGTTTTTTTTGGATAATAAAAGGGTGATTGTGTGCAGAAAAATACATAAATAAATAAATAAAAGGATGGTTGTGTTTTCGAACCATACAAAGATTTCATATCTGCGCCCCACATGCACATCTCAGCGTGCATTAGGAATGTGCTCAGATGTGCATGTGGGGCGTTTGTGGGGTGCGCTCTGTGGGGCGTAAATGTGAATTCTCATACAAAATGCTACTTTGCGTGGCATGTGTAATTGCACGTGCAAGAAAAAAAAAAGAATGGTCAGATAAATTTGTTTAAGTGATATTTGGATATCTTCATAATTGGGTCTAATTGGATATCTATACCACTATAAACCTTATGAATGAGGCCTTGGGTTTCTGATTTTTTGATTAAAATATCCCTCATTTCAAAATTGGGGGTAAAAATGTAATTTTAATATTACTATTGAATTCATTCAATTCCATTTCATTAAGACTAAGGCATTAACTCTTTTTTTGTCATTAAATCATATATTTAAGTATTTTTCTTTCTTATCATTAAATTCTATTAATTAAGTGTATAAGTAATGATTTTAGCATTAAATGATGCTTGAAAGACATGATACTAGACAAGCTTTTAACCAATCAGACCCCCCCCCCCCTCTTGAATTTTGGTGGAAACCTACCTGATTGGTGCCTACCTTTATGATGTCAGTTGATTGGTTGTAAGTTTTTCCAATATCATGCTTTTATACCAGCATCATAGTCAACCCATTTTTTAAATCAATCCATAAATGAAATCGTTTTTTCATCTAGGTAGGGATTAAATAATTCAACCATCTAAGTAAAATGAGTTAAGCCATGATGGCATAATTAAATAATAAAAAATTAAAATAAATAAATCTACAAAAAAATATAAAAATAGTGTAAATTTGTAAAAGAGGTTGGGTACATCTCTATCATTATATAATCATGATGTTAAATATTAGTAAAAGAGAAAAAAAAGGAAGTATATACAAGAGAAACACCAAAATAGAACTAGGCTTGTCAATGATACCCGAAAATTTGAGGCTCAATTCGACATTCGGTTAGATTATCTCAGATTCAGATAATGTTTTTATGTAACCAGATCAGACTCTATTTTGTTATCTGCATCAAATTAATAATTGGATTTGATTCCGATTTGATTCCATCTGATCCAATTAAATTCCAAATTTGATATATTATAATATTTATTAATTTTAATATATAAAATTTTATATAATTATATTTAAAATTATAAAAATATATTTATATATATATTATATTATATATGAATATATATAATAAATTCAACATGTATAATAACATTAAGTTATTATGCATAAAAGTTGAAAAGTAATTAACTTTTTAATTTTTTTGTATTAAAAAAAGTAGAGTTGGGTTAAATTTGAAATCGATTTGAGTTCGTTCAGAATCAAATTCGAATACGAGGTCTTCAAATCGATCATATCCGGATGCAAGCTTTTCATAATCAGATCGGAGTCGAATTTTTCTGAATTTGATTAGATTGCAACCCTAAATAGAGCAAACAAGAACCTATGTCATACAATAGAAAACCAAAACATAAGTATGATAAATATGAAATATTTATTCATTATGGAACTAGAATATAAAATTTAAAATCGATCGGAGACAAAACCATTTTCTATTTGGGTTGTGGATCAATGGTTCAACCATTTGCATCAAATTGGTTAATTCATGATGTCATAATTAAAAAATACAAAAAAAAGCTATAGAACAAATTTGGGTACATCTCTGATATTATATATTAATCATATTAAAAAAATAAGTATGCTAAACGAGAATTGTTAGGTTACCATGTTGACTAGGACAAATGGTTCAATTAGGTTACCATGTTCCGAAGTCAATGATGGTTTGCAAGTGAGTGATTTAGTGGTAAATGGACCCCAAATCATGGTTGAATAATGAGTTGACCTCTTTGACCAATTAATATGAGCATGGAATAAAACCATTATTCTAAAAGTCAATTGCAATTGCATTTCCCTTCCAAATAAATAAGTTAATTTGTGATATCATAAAATAATTAATAAAAATGGAAAACATAAAGAATTTTGAGTAATGAGTTGACCTATTTGACCACCCCCTAATGAATTTTGTTGAATTCCACTTGATTGATGGCATTTAAAGAAACCTAGGAGTAACTTCAATAGGGAAAGATGACAAAAAGCAGATTAATATTGATTGCTCATGTGCATAAAATTAAAATCATATATAACATGTTGAGAAAAAAAAACTAATCAATTTAATATTGAAGGGTCTAGAATTTAATGATGGATATGACACTATTGAATAGAATCAAATGGTAAAAGAGGGTTCATGTAGCCAATCCCATGTTGGGACAAGGTTTAGATGATGATAATGACTACCTAATTGGTTGACTTTTTATGTTTATGGTTAAACCATGCTTCTATTACTTATCATTGTCACATGAGTTTTGATTAGAACATTAAAATTTTAGCATTATCATCATTCACATGGTAGGCTAGGGTATCAGAGTTCAGGATACTCAAGTGTTGCATTTAAAAGTTCAGAATACTTATCTATAATTTACCCAAAAAATATTGGTTTTGAACCTATGTTTTGAATCATACAAATCACATCTATGATTATGTTCATGGTTCTTCTGTGTGACTCACATGTATGAAGCAATTCATCTATCAATATTCAACTTTGGTAAGGCTATTTGTTTATTATATGTGAACAATAATATATGGTATGTTTTCTTTGGTGAATATATAATATGTTAAAAAATAATATAATATGTGAAACTACATATATGTTAACAAGTATATATAATTTCTGACAAAAAAAAACAAGTATATATAATTATATATTTTTCAGGTGTATGAATAAATATTACATTTTAAACACTATAGAAATATAACCTGATTTTTCTGATTTTGGAATCATGATTTGCTGAATGAAAATGTCTTCCATAATGTTAGTTGCGTTTCTAAACACAACCATGAAAAGAATACCCCCTTAGGCTACGTTTGGTTTGAAAGAAAAAGTAACAAAAGGAAGGAAAAGATAATAAGCCACAAATTATCCTTTTTCTCCAAACCAAGCAAAGCCTATTATTAGGTGTATTAGTGTATCACCCATGAAAAGAGCATGTTATAAATAAGACAAGATGATTCAGCTTAGTTGAATAACGACCCGAATCTTATTAGCCAGGGATGGACTCTGATCAGGTTTTGCTGGTAGAGAGGGAAAAGATTTTTAAAAAATTATCTTATTAGATTTCATTGTAAAGTCACTCACTACATCTATGTATTACTATATAAGTGATTAGGTGAATCTTCTATTTTGTTTTGACCAGAGCACAAAATTTAGTGGGCCGGGTTGATTCTAGATTTCTAAATTCCAGCAATATAACTTATATATTGAATTAATATTTGTTACTTGATAGATTAGGAATTCTCATCTGTTAATTTCCAAGTTTTTACGCCAATTTTTAAGTTTCAATATACGTGATATTAAAAAAAAAAGGTTTTGTTATTTGAAACTGTAAAGATTTTTGTTAAGAAAATCATTTTCCACTACTTTTATAAATTTAATATATTATATTTTAATACCAAAGGGAAGTCTAATTTGGACCAAAACTGGGATAATGTCTGAGAATGGCGATAGGGTGGGTTCAGGACAGGGACCATACTCCCCAGTCCCCACACAACTTTTAAGTAGGTCCCATCCCTGACCTTGATCCCCATTTTGGAGAAGAGTCCATCCCAGTCCCCAGATCCTCAATGAAGATGAATTTCTCATAAGGGGCACGGATTCCCAAATTTTTAATTAAAAGTTTTTCTAAGAAAAGTTTTATTTAAAATAAAAAAAGATTTAAAATATAAATAATACTTTAAATATATATATATATATATATATATAAATAAAATTGGGGTTAGGGTGGGATGGAGATTTCACTCCCCATCCCTACCAAGGCAATCTCCATTCCCAACCCAATCGGATGGGAGAGACCAGATACATTGTGGGGATTGGGAAAATTGTCATCCCTAATAATGTCATAATATTTTATTAATTTAAAAATCTATGCTTTAGAAGTTTAGACTCTTGCTTCACACCTTTGTGCTTTGAAGCATCGATACAACTTACAAAGCCCAACCCTATCCATGTTTCAAAACTGTTTACATATCCATACTTTGAGAGGTTGGAGTGACTTTGGAAGATAAACATGCGGATCCATCTATGCATCCTTTTAAATAAGCAAGAACATTCTTGTAAAGTTTGGGGTTGGCCCAAGGTTTAAAGTATTGGAAACACAAGGTGTATCGGAAAGGTAATTTTAAGAGGTGTATTGAGATATGCTTTGGAAATGCATAGATACGGACGAAAAATCAAGATACGCATGGATACAATAGAAAATAAAAAAAAAATCCTT